TAAGGGCGCGGAGGGCGCTGAGGGCGCTGAGGGCGCGGAGGGCGCTGAGGGCGCGGAGGGCGCTGAGGGCGCTGAGGGCGCGGAGCCCGCTGAGGTCCCTGAGGGCTCTGACGCACTGCGGGCGCGGAGGCCGCGGAGGGCTGAGGGTGCTGAGGGCGCGGAGGGCGCTGAGGGCGCTGCGGACGCTGAGCGCTGAGGGCCGGCTGCTGAGGGCGCGGAGGGCGCTGAGCGCGCGCTGAGGGCGCGGAGGGCGCTGAGGGGGCCTTATAGGGCGCTGAGGGCGCTGAGACGCTGAGGGCGTGAGGGCGCTGAGGGCGCTGAGGGCGCTGAGGGCGCTGAGGGCGCGGAGGTGAGGGCGCGGCGTGCCATGGAGGGCGGAGAGCGCGCGCTGAGCGCGCGGAGGGCGCTGAGGGCGCTTATAGGGCGCTGGGGCGCTGAGGGCACTGAGGGCGCTGAGGGCGCGGAGGGCGCGGAGGGCGCTGAGGGCGCTGAGGGCGCGGAGGGCGCTGAGGGCGCGGAGCGCGCTGAGGGCGCTGAGGGCGCTGAGGGCGCTGAGGTGGGCGCTGAGGGCGCTGAGGGCGCCGGGGCGCTGAGGGCGCTGAGGGCGCGGAGGGCGCTGAGGGCGCTTATAGGGCGCTGAGGGCGCTGAGGGCGCTGAGGGCGCTGAGGGCGCTGAGGGCGCGGAGGGCGCGGAGGGCGCTGAGGGCGCTAAGGGCGCGGAGGGCGCTGAGGGCGCTGAGGGCGCGGAGGGCGCTGAGGGCGCGGAGGGCGCTGACGGGCGGCGGAGCGCGGAGGGTGCGGAGGGCGCTGTGAAGGCGCGGAGGGCGCTGAGCGTGAGGGCGCTGAGGGCGCGGAGGGCGCTGAGGGCGCTTAGGGCGCTGGGGCGCTGAGGGCGCGGAGGGCGCGGAGGGCGCTGAGGGCGCTGAAGGCGCGGAGGGCGCGGGGGGCGCTGAGGGCGCGGAGGGCGCGGCGCGGAGGGCGCGGAAGGCTGAGGCCGCGGAGGGCGCTGAGGGCGCGGAGGGCGCTGAGGGCGCGGAGGGCGCGGATGGTGCTGAGGGCGCTGAGGGTGCGCAGCGCGCTGAGGGCGGCGCTGAGGGCGGAGGGCGCAGAGGGCGCTGAGGGCGCTGAGGGCGCGGAGGGCGCTGAGGGCGCGGAGGGCGCTGAGGGCTGAGGGCGCTGAGGGCGCTGAGGGCGCGGAGGGCGCGGAGGGCGTTGAGGGCGCTGAGGGTGCTGAGGGCGCGGAGGGCGCGGAGGGCGCTGAGCGGAGGGCGCTGAGGGCGCTGAGGGCGCGGAGCGCGCTGAGGGCGCTGAGGGCGCTGAGGCGCGAGGGCGCTGAGGGCGCGGAGGGCCCTGAGATCTGCGAGGGCGCATGCAGTATCCATGGCCCATCCATTTAGAATGCATGACGCACACGCTCTGATGCGCATGGTTTATAATCATAGCATGCGTTCACAGCATGCATGACCCAGCCTCACATTGACGTGCATGTTTGATGTGTTGTGAGTTCACAGCATCCATGGCCCAATCATATAATGGCGTGCATGGTTTATAATGCGTATAGATTAAAGCTATTGCATGATCTGTGCTCTGGTTACTAAGTACCTAATGAAGTCCAGTAACATGAACTATGAGTTAGGTAACCACACCTCCAAATGCTTTCAATGGACCATAGTCCGACGATGTTTTGTTGTTGTTGATATATAACTGCTTCAATTAGTGTACTTAAATTATAATTGCGATAACCAGATCATGGATTTATGTTGTACTTGAGGTGCTTATCAATCAACCTTAGTTGTGATCGACGTCGTGTTGAGTTGTAATTCAGTTATAAGTAGGGTGCTAGGTGGGAGATAGGTCCAGCGACGTGGCCTCCGAGTAAGTAGGCTAAGTGGGTTACCGGCTAAGTCCGCTAAGTGGGTTCCGCTGCGTCATGGCTATATTATAAGTCCGATAAGTAGGATCAGCGCGCTGTTCTGGAGCCCACTCAAGCTACTTAGCCTACTTACGGATATGGATTTATCTTCACTTACTTATGTAAGTGCACTTAACCTACTGACGTGTGTGCCCTTCTCCTTCTTATGTAAGTCTTGTAAGTCCTACTTACCCTACTTATGTATAAGTGCAACCCTAAGTGACTCATACCACATATTTACATCCACCCGATATATCCCACTTAATAGCCCCACAATAAGTTGACCTTAACTCACGCAGCCCGTGCTCTGGTAAGTCAGTTGGTCTTCACCTTTATAAGTCCAACATAAGTCCATCATCCACTTAGTAAGCCCACCAACCACTTATAAGCAAAGCGATCCTATATATTAGACCGGTAAGTATTCACTGCATCTATTTTGCCCACATGTATGCACATGTGTATGCTTTATAATTCGAGGTCACCATAGTAAGAACGACGTGCATTCTGAGTTCCATCGCGCAACTCAACTACTAGTACAGTGAAGCCACATGTAAAGTAGCGTCGCTGCTGCATGTAAGGGCTCAGCGCCCACTTCTTGAAACAATACTTGGGGCTTGAAAACGTAGCTGTCGAAGTGGCGTCCCAGAATGAGCTTGTGAAGTCCTGATAAGTCAAAATCGATTCTGCAATTTTGGTTCCGCGAAGTTTGCTGGCCCTGCCAACATTTTTTGCGCGTCGCATCTCAGAACTCTTGAATTTAGTGATGCTGATCTCTTCACAGATGCAACCTACCTTGAGCCATGTCCCCCAGCGTCTGCTCGCACGTAGTTGTTTTTTGGCGTGGGCGGGTCTCAACGACTGCGGCAGCAGTACTCGGTCCCTACAGGAAGCCTAGCAAACGAAGAAAACTACCCAAAAAATATGAAACAAGCTGCGACCTGCAGGCTTTGCCGGCAGGAGTCGTTCAGCTTCGGTTCCTGCCAAAATCCTGAAGGGTTTTGGACCACGGCCTGCATGGCTTTCCACGGATTTGGGACCGCGACCAGAATGCTTTCTCCCACGTACTGGCGCGTCCAAACATATTTTCGCCCAAGTACTGGTGGGATTCAGAAGCACGGCGCTTTGCCTCCCCACGTGTTTTTTATTATATTAGCTGGATTCAGAAGGCCACGCTCAAAGGTTTGGAAGGTGGCAACTTTGGGATTTATATAAGAAAACACTATTGCGTCAAATGGACGCCAAGCGTCCAAGGCACCCCCCCCCCCCCCCCCCCCATCCCCGCAAAAGAAGTAGGGGAAGGGCAGCTTCTCCACGGGTCGCTCCATGTACCGTAGGCTTGCACTGCCGGTCGAGGCTGCCTTGGATTCAACACCAAGGAGGCTTCCTTCTAGGGCTCCTGTCAGAGTGTAGGGCTTAGGGTTATGAGGGTTCCTTGAAGGGCTCCTTTAATGGTGTAGGAGGATTCCTTTTCAGGGCCCCTTCAAGGGCTGGTTTTAGGATTATGTCAAAGGCTTGTTTTAAGTGCTCCTTCCGGGGTTCCTTTCAAGGGCTCCTTTCAAGGCCTCCAATAATAATAATAGTAAGAATAGTAATAATAGTAATAGTAATAATGATAACAATAACAGTACCAATTTCATGGGCTCTCCTTCAGGGCCCTCCTTCAAGGCCACACGGACCGGGGCTTCAGGAAATCCTTCAGCTCCAGGGCCGGGATTCTTCCGGGGGTTAGGGCCGGGCTCCTTTGCTTGAAAGCAGGGTCACAGAGTGTAGCTTCGGGTTTAGAGCTTGGGTTTAGGATCCTTGCTTCCAGAGGTTACAAGGGCTTGACCAAAAGGCCTATGAGGGATTTCCGCTGAGGTTGTTAGGTTCCTTGTTTGGTAGCTTTCCTCTGTTGCGCGCTTTGGTTAGATAGGCTGTTGGTTTGGGTGGTGTTGAGGGCTCTGTTGTTCAGGGGCTTGGAGGTTCATGGCGGTTCAGAGTTTCTAGCTTTCCGGATTCGGGCTCGATGCCAAGAGCTGTTGGGGACCACTTGGTTTCACTGGTTCACAGTGCAAGGGGGCATGTCATAACATGTCACCGGACTTGGCCTTGAACTGAAGCCAAGAAACGTATTGCAGCCCGCCGTTGGTGACAACTGCCTTGAATGCAGACGGCTTTGCACTGCTTCACACACCCAGATTCGCGACAAAAGGGACAGCATCTTCAAACAATGGATGTTCGGTAATCGACTCTCACTTACGACCAGCTGGACCTGTACAGGTGAGAATAAGCCCGCGAGGGAAAACGGGAAAAGCTGCAGGCATCCGTTCTCCCGAACTGACGTCGGCAGCCCTAAACCCGAAAGGATCGAAACCCTGATCGCCTACCGGGCCCACCGAGGACCTTCTTCCTCAAAGCTAAGACCTTAAGAAACCTATACATAATTAGCACAACACTCTTACAAGAGCCGCACACACCCTGCACCCTGAGCTGCAAACCTTCAACCAAACCTTAAGCCCTGAACCCTAAACCCACCAACCCTAAACCGAAGGAGCACCTGCCTTTGCCGGACGAGGCGGCTGTGGCTGCGGAAGTGGGTTGATGGCCTTATGCACTGGAAGGTCTACCAACTGTCAGTACTACAGTAATTTCTCAGCTTTGTCGTAGAACCAAAATGTGAGGCCTTTTCACGGGATGCATCTCTCTGCACTATGACCCGCCCCAGGATGACGACGACCACTACGCGACGGGCGAAATCAACAGCTCATCCCTCCTAGCGCCAGCCTTGACAGGCACTGCAGCTGCTTTCATCTTGGGCACTATGGCCTGCCGGTGTTTCACGGTGGCTTTTCGAAGCAGGAGAGGATCGCCTGCTTTGGGATTCAAGGGCCCAAGCTGAGAGCATTCAGGACCGGCCTTGGCCGGTGGATGGGTCGGCAGAGGCCTCAAAGTGCAGAAACGACTCACGGCACCCCGCTTTGCCTTGCGACGACTCCTAGGATCCCAAGGCATGGAAAAGCTGAAACACTGCGGTCTCCTGCGTCCTTCCTTTATTCCTAGGGAAGTGGAGACTCCTCCGTGTCGGAATCTCGCGAGCTAAGCCTGCAGCTTCACGGCCACACCTGGAGGTGGGACGGCCTCTCGGCGGACATGTGGGAAGACGCTCCGCCAATCTCAGAAACTCCCCACCTTTGGTGCTACTTTGGCAGCCGGAGGCGAAGGAACTGGCGGAGCCTGCCATGAGGATCAGCCCACGCCTCTCCCTCTCCCGACCGCCTCGGGCACACCGCGCTCTCCCGCCTTCATCTGCGCTGTGGGCAAAGGCCTCGTGTGGCAAGGGGGCTCTCCGACCGATGAGTTTCGCCGTCCGTGAGCCCGAGGCCCCGGCTTCACGGCCAAAGGCACCGGCACCTTGACCTGGTGTGCAGTGCTTCCGTGAGGCTAAAGGCTGGGTTTCTGGGCTTCCGGAAGAAACATCACGAGCATTTGAAGTTTGTAAGTCTTCGAGCCCAAGGTCTGGGTGGTTGGGAAGATGCTTCCGCCTACTTGCCAACCTGAGCTGATGCACCGGACTGTTCCAAACAAGTGTCTTGACATGTCTTGCTTCGGCTCTGAAACAGCTATCTGAGCCGAAGCTAGAACCCACACAGCTGCGATTTTGCAACAACTGCGGGACTTTCTGGGCTCCCGACTTCGCGGGAAGCTGGACCGGGCCCGGGTTCCGGGCCGGCCGGACCGGAAGAAGCCGGGGCCGGGTATCCTCCATGGCCCGGTTCCTTGGGAGGAGCCTTGGGTGGTGCCTTGGCCTTGACCGCCGGGGCTTTCTCCACCTTCACCTCCCTGGCCTCTTTCAAAAGCTCCTTAGCCTCCTTGGGCTCCTTTGGGGGCTCCTTGGGGGGGTCCTTGGGGGGCTCCTTGGGCTCCTTGGGCTCCTTGTTGGCCTTGGGCTTGGCCTTCGGCTTCGCCGCGGCTTTCGCGCTGGCCTTCGTGCGGTCTCAGGGTTCAGCGAGGGGCACTGTGCTACGTTTTGTTATATTATGTCATAACATTGAATAATGTAATATACTACGTCGTAACACATTAGACTACGTCTTACATCGCAATGTAAATATATGATGATATATTATGTCAACTTTTGTTATATGATGATCTATTACGGGGCATCGACTCTTTGCTGGCATAGTGGGAGTGTGTCACCGCACGAAGCGGCTGGCCTTCGCCACCTCCTGGCATTCGGAGAAACGTCTTCGGGGGTTCAGAGTTACTTGCTTTCGGGATTGCGGGGACTTTGTAAGTAGGTTACCGAGGAAGCTGAGAGCAAAGGCCACGAGATCCTCGACGCTTGGCTTCTTGGGGGGGGGGGGGGGGGGGGGGGGGGTCGTTCATGTTCTGCTCACCAACAGGTCCGAAAAGGAAGAGCTTCCATTTGCGAATCGCTTTGAAGCACAGAGAGGGGGATGTACTCATTCAACCAAAAGAGACAGTGGGGATGCTGACAGTCAGAAGCACCGAGCATGGACAACCCGGCCGAAACTGCCACCACATGCACCCGAGCAATTCCTACGTGCCTGCTCGCTGTCGGAACCGTCGGACAGGCCGGAAAATTTCGTTTTCGAGAAGAGGTTCGCCAGAGCCTGATCATCACGCTGGGCTTGCGGTAGGCAGGCTGTTGCACGAGCATGGGCTTCGGACATCTGTTCTCCGCGAGAAGGCATGGGCTACAATCAGCCGTGACAGTTGCGACATCTTGAGGTTCAAGCAGGAGTAGTCGGCACGGCTGGAACGACCTTCGCAGGTCATGAGGTCCGGCCAGCTGAAGAAACGGTGAAAGGACGGAACCCAAACAAGTACTCAAGGGATGCTTTGCAAGTCGGTCCTTCGTGGGTGAAGCGTCTTCCGTCTTTGCAGCCTTCTTTTTCTTCTTCTTCTTTTTGGCCTTCTTGGGCTCTGCATCACCTCGGAGATAGGTACTGCAGCAGAGGTTGACCAAAGACTGCATCTGACCCTTCGCCACTGGGGCTCTGGCCAGCTTCAATTGGATCCTGAGAAACATGGAGATGGGAGCCTACATTCAAGCTAGTCATCTCCTGCTCATGCAGGACAGTGACGGAAAAGATAGCAACATCAGCCGAGTGATTCACGAAATGCAGGCTATTAGACGACTCGGCACGCTGTGTGAAACGGAAAAACTCACATGACTGCCAAGGCTGGAGACAGGAACACACTAGACTCCCAGATACCTGAACCACTTCCAAACATTTCAACACTCGCGTTGGTGCCTCGAGCTCGGAACCTGCAGACTCTTCCGCCTGATGCTTCATCACTCCACATGGCTGCAGGAACGATTTTGAGGGAAAGCTCATGGCGATTCTTATCTCAGTTCTCTTCACAGCCTTTGAGTCTCGGGTTTAGCGTGCAGGATTGAGCGGGCTGGTGCCTTCGTTTCGGCAGCGTGGTCGGCAGGCTCGTCCGGCAGCTGATCGTCGGCTGGTCGGTGCAAGTCGGTAACTGGCCCAGAGACAGTGCACAAGGAAAATTAGTCAGGATGAGTAATTCAGGTATAGTCTCGCTGAGCAGGGCATTCTTTAGCCGAGTCCCCACAAAAACAGGCCACAGATATGGACAGATCAGCTCTGCTAGTTAGGCAGCACTCGCGGCCCTCAGTGAGCCACGCAGTCCTGCGGATTTGGTATCCTTTGCTTAGTTCGATCAGCTCTGGCTCACCTCCCGGCCGTGGTGGCGGCGGAACAGCCGGTGGTTCTGGTCGGGTCCTAAGGATCATGACGCTGTAGGCATGGCTGCAAATGGGCGCAAGGTGTCAAAACTTTGCCGAGCTCTGTTTCTCTAGAAACTTCTGCCTGGAGTATGACATACCTGTTCACCGGCTCTGGAATGTGCATTGAAGCAACAGATTCTTGTCGTATCATGACAAGCTGACTTCAAGGCGGCAATGAAGCCCCGACTCACCGCGTAGAAACCGCGGATGTCTGAACCACTATCACTTCAAGCAAACCGAGGTCGCCGCGGCTCGAAGCCCCAAACCAGATCACGCATCATCTCTCCACATTCTTCAGCCGCCGGCCTTCGGACAATCACTTCCTTTGGCTCTGAGGATGCTGATGCTGCATTGCAGCCGCTATGCACACACACACACACAGATCGATCCATGTACGCATGCACACATACACCAGCACTTTTTTCAAGTGTGTGCAGAGAGAAACGTGTTTATGTGTATGTGTATGTGCGTGTGAATGTGACTGTGAATTGATAGGTTGCGCAGGTCGGTTCTTGTCACTGTCGGACGATGCCACATTTCCATCCTCAAAATTCAGCAATGGCCCGTACTCGTCATCTTCGCAACGTGTGCTGAACGCATGCTCGCGAACAGAACAATCTTCTGCTTCAAAAAAAGGCCGGTAAATGACGAATCGGCACTGCTGCTATGCTTCGAACTCATGCTGAGAAAGTGAGGGTCACAACGCACAGACTCTCGAGTGGATTCTGCAAGGGAGACTTTGCCCATTTAATGTACAGGACTTGGGTTCGGGGGGGTGAGGTTTAGAAGGGGTGTCTTTCTGTAGTGGTACTCTTGATGGATTGGGATGGTGGAGTTTTGGTAGGGGTTTAAGCGAGGGTTTGGTGGGATTCCTGGGGTGGGATACAGGGGTTTGGGTTGAGTTGGTTGGCGGTGGTATTATAACGGGCAAGGGTTCTACTAACTAGAACACCCGGTGCCTTCGGCCCTCCTCTGCGGCGGTGTCATTAGCGTCCGTGGGCCTGGAGAAGGGTCCGCCGTCATGGAACAAAGAACAGCAAGCGGTGGCTGAATATCTTAATATCTTTAAGGCCATAGGGACTTTCTCGCTTAGGTCCTTAAATTGCGTAATTTAAAGCTTGGGGCTTGCAAGCCCGTCTTCGGCCGTGCAGCGAAGCAGAGAACTGACACAACGACGCGGTCATCCGGATCTTCAGGGAGGAGTACGACCCCGCGTATTTTATGTGCAAAGCACTGAGAAATTAGACCCTCAGCGGAAGCGAGTCGGAATGGGGAAATCGGCAGCTGAACCGGATGCTGCAGCGACTCTTTTTAAACACTGGTGCAGCACCTCGCTGCGAGAGGTATTCCAAGAATGAAGGTTTCTGCTTACCACCTTAACATGGACCAGCAGGAACCGCTGCCCCTGCTCAGCGCCGAGCTCAACATCCTTGAAGAACCTTTGCTCTCACCCTAAAACCCCAGTGAAGAAACATAGAATGAGGTCATATCATGCGCCCCATCCCCCCCGCCCCGCTGTGCTAAGGCTCAAAGACCCAAAGCTCCGAACCAAAATCCTAAACCCTAAACCCTAAACCGGTATGGGCCACCTCGCCGCCTACAGTTTTCGGAGAAGGGCTTCTGTCGGGGCAATCCGGGACTTCCGGCTTCCTGCTGCGCCGCCATCGCCCAGCGCCCTGCATGCCTTCCGGGAGTCGCTTCTCTGGAGCTTTGTGAATATAGGAGCCTTCATCATAATTACCTATATACTATAATTGTTGCAATAGTAGTATAATGGGCCCCCACACCCTATTCTAATTATTGAGGCATAGTAGGGTGTCTCGGGCATCAGGCCTCCAGCTCCATCGACTGAGAGGTCAGGAGTGACGTGCGGCACCGGAGTTTCTTGCGGCAGCGGCGGAGCTGCGCCTCGCAAAAGCAGACCAACATAGGCGGCAGAGTTTAGAGGCCTGCCGGCACTGCCTGCTGGCGGGTCCCAGGATGGCTCCTCCTGTACATGAGCGGGAGCTGGCTCGGTCGCCAAGCCTCAGCAAAATGCCAGCGCTTGCTTCCCAAGCGCCATGGGGGCCATCCTGCAAAGCTCAGGTTCCGGCTCGCTCTCTGCGGAGCGAGCGGCACAAGGGGCGCGCCCCAGAAGCCATCGTCGTCGTCAGCAGTTTGGGCAGGCCTGAAGCCGAAGCTTCGCAGGCCGAAGCACAGAATAACAGCCTTTTTTCAGGCTCAAAGGGCTCGGGGGCTCCGCGGCTCCGGGGGCCCGCACGCAGGTGCCGCCAATTCCAAGCCCGGCGGCCTCGCGAATCACCGCTGGGCCCGGGCAACTGCTCCTAGCACTCTCAGCTCCGAGGACACCACTCAAGCCGCGGCAGCGGTCTCCAGGCGTCCCAGTCTTCATAACCAAAAGGCCTCCAGTAGCTTCGGAAGCAGGCCTTCGCTCGCTTGCGAACCTCCCCTTCCCTCACGCCTTGCCAGTGGTCCAGCGTCGGAAGCAAAGCCTGGCCAAGGGCTCAGAACACAACTTGTCATGTGGGGTTTAGGGCTTAAGGCTATTGCAACTCTATGTAGCATGAATCAACTTGATGATAGTCTTCTTGGGATCGTTCTCACTCTACAGCAGCCAGGTAGTCAATGGTGTTGACAAGCATCCCAACAGCTCCTACATATAATGAACCGTAACCTAAGCCAAAGTGCTGGCTCCTGAACCCGAAACCACAATCCCAAAACCCCAACCCTCCAACCGGCCACACTTAAACCTGAGAGAACTCCTATAGGAGGACCGTATAAAACCGTTCTAAACGCCCTAAACCCGGAACCCTCTCTATTTAAACGTACCCTGCGAGCTCAGGCCTGGAGGCGGCGCTTTGTACATCGGCTGAGGGATCATCGCCGAAGTGGCCCACCTCTGCTTTAGCCGGCGGGGGCCGGGGAGGAGGATTTTAAGGTTTAGGTCAGCTGCTGTGGCTTTTGAAAACAACACGGGTTCTCAAGGAGTTAAGGTGTGTAGGTTTGGAGTTTCAGGTTTGTGTTCCGGGTCGTGCGTGTGGAAGAACACCGAAACATCTGAGGACGGTGAGGCGGTCTGCTCACGAGCACATGAAACAAGACCCTAATCCCTACTAAAACCCTAAACCCGAAGATTGCTGAAACTCCGGACAGAATCCTTGAACCCCTAAACCCTAAAACCCAAGACCCCATAGATCCCGAAGCGTCTGCTTTCCCTTCTTCTTCCCATCAACCGGAAGAACCGGGGAGGCGACGGAGGGGCGCTCCAGTCGTCATGGGTGAAATCCTGCTGGAGACCTTGAGCAATCTCCTTCATGTTTCGATGATTTTGATTATGGCGAAAACATAAGAAAAGCATTCTACCACCTACTGTTACTAGTTTTGCAAGTCCTCTTACCATTACTATTCCTCTTACTACTACTAACTCTAGCTCTGACCATGACATTACCATCACCATTGCTCTTGCTGTTACCGGTGCTCAGACTGGAACTTTGTCTCTTCGTCTTTCTGTTGTTAGATTTGGTAATTAGTATGCATATTGCTGATGATTATCACGACTGCTGATGATTATTATGACAGCTGGGGCACAGGGTTTATGCATTCATGATGGTTTAGGACGTTGAAATGTTTTAGCTTCTCTGTCACTAGAGCTGCTTGGGTCTTCAAGGTTTCCGTTCTCCGCACCTGGGCCACTCCTTGCGCGGTGGTTGCAAGGCACCTCGTAAACTTCCGGACAAAGGCTTCGCCTTTTTCGGAGATTCGGGGAGAATAACAACACAACGCTCTACCGGGGGGGACCATCCTCCCAAAACGTGGCACTTTCCGAGCTCAATGCCAGGATTTGGCATCTCCATGGCCTTAGCTGAACCGGATGCCGTGGAACGAAGATGTTGCAGCTGAGGCATCTCAACTGTATCCTTGCCAGGGTGCGGCTTGCGGGGCGCCATTCGCGGCCATGAAGCTGTCGTCCTCGCGAGAAGTCTGAGTCTGCTCTCAGCGTGGTGGTTTAGAGTAGACAGTCGAAAAAGCACTCATTCTCAGTCCCATCGGATCACGCGAATCACAGCTTCTATGAACCGACCTCCGGCGGCCGAGAGGACTGGAAGTATCCCTGGGCATGGCTGCATTTGACAAGCTTGCAAGAGAGACTGCACTCACCTATCACCGCTTAAACCCTAAACCCCTAAACCATTTTGGGGGCTCCGTATTGTAATGGTACTATGAAAAGCCCCAAACCCTAAACTGATTATTAAGGCCCCTACAGTAGCAAACCTGAACGTTGAAAGGACCAGAGGCTGGGCCAGACTGCCCCCCGCACGGCCATTGGCCAACAGTTGCTGCAACGGTTGAATGTAAACTACGATCCTGCGCAGCAAGCTGCAGACCCGGACTCCTTTCAGAAGGGTGCTTAGGGTAGAGCTGTTACAAGCCCCGATTGGCAGAGGTTGCAATGAAGCTCCGACTCAGAAGCCCTAGAGGCCCCAGAAAACCTGAAACTCCTAAACGCGAGATACGGCAAAGAGATTCATAACAATGTAACATGCTATCATATACGACAATAAAGCAACACTGTAGCTTCAATATACCCATTATAATATAGCTATAAAAAGGCAACAATCTACAAGAATACAAGCATACTTAGCGGAGCTGAGATCCTGGCATTCTGTTGGCTCCCCTTCGGGGGCCGGCTCTTACGAGCTGTCCTAAGTGAAACCCGGAGCTCGAAGCGATGTAGGGTCGGGTGGCTCAGACGTCCTGCTTCAATATTAGAACACCAAAGCACAAAAAGCAATCCAACAAATAGGAACTGAAGCAGCTGCAAAACAACAAGACGAAGCATAAGCCACCTTGGATTGCAGTACTAACCGTCAGCCCTGGCTTAGGTGCATCCTGGGCATGCGGTACCCGTTGGACGACTGGTTATGGTCCGTGGTCCTCACCGGTTCGGGCTCTGGGAGTTGCACGCGCCCCTTACATGATGAACCCTTACAACCGCTGCCCCTAAAAATCCTCAACCCTAAACCCCAAAATCCCCAACCCCCAAACCCAAAGATGGTGCAGAAACTGCAGGCTCAGGCCAAGTCCGATCATCCCTCGCCTGCCCAAGAGGATCTCGGATTCATGTTCAGGCACTCAGGGGAAAGGGGGTTTAGAGATTGTGGCTTGGGGTTTCAGGGTACAGAGGTTTAGGGTTCAGGCATCAGGGCCTAGTGGTTGGGATGTGAGGTTGATGGTTTGCGGTTTAGGGCTGAGTGATGGCGACTTAAGGGCAGAAGCCACTAAGGCTATGATCGAGTAGTGGTATGAAGATTCCCAGTCATCACACAAGAAGTAATGAGAAGAGCCACATCACCAGGTTAACTAGGACTGGAAGGATGGGAACAACAGTCTCAACTATGATAGCAAAATGTCCCCTAGATCCCTGATTAAGTTAGCATAGACCATTTCCATTTTCAACTCATGCACCCCCCGTAGCACCCAAATCATAACAACCTATACCTCAACCCTAACCCCACCCAAGACCCATAGGTAGAACCCAAGGAAAGACCCACCAGAAGACCCAAAACCATAACAGCCTATACCCCAATACCCACAAGATGGAACCACTAGAAGAAACCATACACCACCACATAGAAAACCCCCAAACTAAAACCTCATACACCAATACCCCGATAGAAAAACCATATTCCCCAACCCGAAATCCCTAACCCTAGAAAACGGAAATGGTCTTCTTAAATAATCTTACAATGATGGGAATAAGGTTTAGGGATAAGGTAGGAATAAGAAACAAGAACAATATTATTTCAACAAAATATTGGTACGATTGGTTTTTTATTTAGGCTTGACTAGTTCGCCGTATTCTTTTTCAATATCCTGAATACTTTTGTTCAACCACTTAACTCCATTCTTTGGTTTCACATCTGAATATTTGGCTTCTGCGCTTCCCCCACTCTGACAAAGTATTTCAATATGTTCAATTAGATCCGAGTATTTTTTATTGGCTTTTTATCTTCTGAAATTTTACCTTCCAAAAGAGATATATCGCGCCTAACATCCAGGACATCTTCTTGATCAAAAACACTTTCATTCATAAACTTTAAGCAACTTACATAACTCCTTAATTCTGTTTAAGTATACGCCTAAACGCTAGACTGCGCTACACACCTGTAACACACCTACAAACACCATTCCAACAGCCTCCGAGATCCTCGCCCACACCCCCCGCCCCCCCCCAGGCCATGTGCAGCATCTTCAGGGGCGTCATGTCCGCCGGGCTGGCAAGAGGCTGAAGTTTGGGTTTAGGGTTGGAGTACGGTTTAGGGTGTAGCACATCCAGAAACCATGGGGTAAGTGCTTGCAAAGCTGGCAGATTGCCAAGATGCTGTTCAAAAGCTCGGCCTTCCACCGAGCTGCCACGGTTTTCAGCTTCAGGGTTTAGGGATGGGCTGGGGATTTGGGCAATTCTTCTCGTCATGGTGTTGGCTCGAAAACATAATTCCCTGATAGGAAGGCGACAGGGCGGTTCACATACAATCCCTCAACCCCTTCAGAGCGCAAAGGCTCTTCATGCCGGCAACACGGCGCCGCACGCGATCGCAGATGAAGCAACCTCCGTGCTGAGCATCGCGGGTCGAGCCACCCGGTCAAGCTGCCGAAGCCGGGATGAGACACCGGGCTCCAGGCGTATCTCGCGCATAGCACATGTGCACCTGATCCCAAGCAGTGCTGGTGAGCAGCTGGAGAATCCATGGGCAAAGCCTATGATGGCCAGTCCCGGCAACTAATCGCGACGTTGGTGATACTCGATTACGAGCACCAGATCTAGACGGAATCTCATGTCTCTCCTCCTGTTGGGACACCAGTCTCCCCCATCAAAGCCCCATGACACCTTCCTAGAATTTCCAGCCAGCTGTCTCGTTGCATGTGGAGTCGTGGAGCCCACGAGATGTGAAAACGGTGAAGCCTTCGGCTCAGCCACACACACGCCAGCCTCATCGCACAACTCCAGGGACTGCATCGCGGTGCCCACTGCTGCAAGTCAGTTGGAAATTCGACCCTAAGCGATACCCAACATTAAACCCCGAAACCCCGAAGTGTCCAAAACGTGCCCAAACTCCTTGGTTTACGAAAGGCACAGTGCTCCCTTGCTTTGCTTTCCGCTTATGGCGGCGTCAGGCTCCACATCGCATGACTTCTTCGAGTTCAACGCTTGAAAAGACGTCGGAGGACGGCCGGATTCTGCGGGCATGTTTGATCTTGCTCCTTCTCCTCTCTCTGTCCGTCTCTCTCTCGTGCTGAAAACCGGCTGATGCAAAGGTGAGGAAAAGGAGATGCAATCCCGCCAGCCTGCTCCTAACTGCTCCTAACTGCTCCTAACTGCTCCATTTAGACCCGCAAGAGCATCTGCCGATGTGGCCCTCAACCTTTTGATCCTTGCTGTCCCTAGGCAAGCTGGCGCTTCGCGCGGTCATACTGGAGCATGCCAAACCTTCACACAGGCAAAAACAAAGAGAAGCCAAGGAGCGAGGACCATATTCACATAAAAAACAAAGCGGTACTGGTTGCGGTCCCTGTCACAACGTAGCCGCGTAGCCACAAAGCTGCTGGGGAGTGACAATGCCCCCCACGATGCACAGTGAGAGAGCGGCAGTAGTAACATCCTCGTCGCGAACACTTCGTATGCAATGATATGTTGACATTGCTGAAAGTTGCTCATGCTTCATCAGACTTGCAGAATCTCCCGAAGCCCTCAGCAATGGCCACAGTTCACATGCCTGCTGGTTTGAGAATACTACGCTGCTTGCAAGAATGCGATAGGGATTCGAGTTCAGTGCTAAAGATCTGGTGTTCGGGTATTGAATCCACACCCTAATTTCGACACTATGTAAGCCAAGGCTGTACTGTCGTATACTGTCATAATACTATACTAATATATCAACATACTATAACAACTATCCTAAACCCTAAACCGTTTATGGACGCTCCAGGCCTTGGCAGTGCCAAAGACCGTGAAGGTGACGGGGCTTGCCACCTTCAGCAATCTGGAGTAGGCCACGTTGAGGGTCACCTCGTCTTTCTGAGAAGGACGACACAGCAAATATGAACATGTGACAGTTCGTAGGTAATCAATGAGTCATAAACATTAACATCTTAAAGAACTTGCCAAAGCTTCTGAAGCCTTGAACTAGCCTAACTAGCCTACTAGCTTTACATTGAACAGGTGTGCGTACCAAAGGCAAGCTCGGTATGGTGTCAATGGCCCCACTTCACTTGTCACAAGCTACTATAAGCAAGATGCCTCTACATAAGTACTATGTCTATAAGCAAGTATGTAGATAGTAGAGTATGTGAATATGTTTGTACATGTGTGTTTCGGTATTGAAGAGAAGAACAAGAAAAATAACAGGAAGAAGACCATCCCAGTTGAAAATTGAGGAACATGCAACAACCGAAGTACTCCTCTTGATGATATAAGTCCTGCATTACCCATAATAAGGAATGTAAGGAATATACCATAATTCCCATAGTTTCGGGTCCTTAAGGTAATGCAGGATTTATATCATCAACCGTCATGATGATTATCTTGAATACGGGGCGTCGTGTTCCTGCTCGTGGCTCGAATCTCGTGGCGACCAAGCCACTGCCGTGAGAGCATTCAGGATCAATGCACTCCCTGGCCAAGGCAACCCGGAAAAGCCGTGACCAGCTGAAGGTCTCAGCGGTAGTATGCTTCTTGCTGTTAGCCCTTATTGTCGTCTGACTGTTGTTCCTCACACATGCCGGCTTGGCCTCGCAGGGCGTCGAGAACGTGCAGGGCAGCACACAGCTCTGACAGTGCAAAGGGCGCAGTGATCAGGAAGGCCACCGGCGAGAAGAGGGACAGAGCCTGAAGCTTGACAGATCCATGACAGGCGCCAGGACCGAGCAAGGTGGCAAGAATGAACCCCATCCGAAAGAAAGAGGCTCAAAAGGTGGCTAGCTCAGACGTTTCACCCGTTGAAAGCCACAACATTCCTACTCTAAGCACGCTGTGACGGCGGCACTCTCTTTTAAAGTGACCATAACCTGGGACAGCCCTCACGGGCACAACGGCAGCTGCGGCGCTGAGAGAGGATCCAGCTTCAGCCCACTTTCAGACATCATCGACTTGAAGAGGACCAGTCGGAACCTCAGAGGCGATCAATCTGAGTGACAAAGACCGTCAGAGACAGAGACGAGCGGCTGTTCCACCAGAATGGCCACCACCAAGAGCCCCAGGCCTCAGAAACTTTCCATCCCCACCAAAGCTCCACAGTCCAGACTGCTCTCCACCGCAGCCGAGGCCTTGCCTCTTCGCTTGCCCTCCCCTCCTTCGCTGAGGTCGAAGCCCAGGTGGCTCAAGGAGAGCTCCCCGTGGATGGTGGCTCCCGCCTCGGAAGGGACTCGGGCCAGGGCCAGGGCCGCCACAGAGCCCCAGTAGGACATGAAAGGCTCAGCTGGGTTCTTCTGCAAGCTTTGAGAGGGTGGCTTTGTTCTTTAAATCGCCCTGATGTGTTTGCGTGTGTTGCGTTGTGTTTCTGCAGGCTGGTGTTGAATGCTTCTTCCGAAGGCGCGGCTGTGAAGGCGGTGTTTTGCTGGTGCTTGCTTGAAAAGCGTGGCATTGCCTGCTCGGGAGCTGAACCGACAAGAATGCCAGTTTCACTTGAAACGGGAACTTGCGTCGGCTCAGTTCCTGAGCAGGCTTATCGACACGACTCCTGCATTGCGTGGGCATTGGCCTTTCTGGCATTGTCTTACGGTTCAAGACGTTGAAGCTCAAAGAAACAGCATACAATAAACCTAATACAATATAATAGAAAAGAATAGAACAGAAGTAGAAATGGAATAGAATTCAATACAATACAGTACTCTATACATATATATATATATACACATGTATGTATATACACGTACAATACACGTACGCTGACGCATGTGTGTATAATATGTGTACCTGTGTAGACATATACGTACTACACAGAAATCTTACAACGTCCCATGATCCGCTGCTGATCCCCGGGCCGACGGACAACAACGCCGAAATGTTCAGGGCCCCGGGCCCCGATGGAGATGATCAGCACGGGCCACACGAGCTGGAGAGCCGTGGACCAGCTGGTCCTTGCTCCGACGTTTCTTTCTTCTTTATCACCTCTTTTCCTCCCGCCACATGTGTTGGTCGGAATGCCTGTCAGGCGGAAGCTGTTGGCCGGCTTACACATTCGGGGATTCCACCCACCAGGTTTCGGGGTTTAGGATTTAGGCTACTCGGGTCCTGTCTTCGTTATTGTTTAGTAGGTGACTTAAGCTAATCACTCGGGCCACTCGGGGACTGTCGAGGCATTCGGTGGTAATCCCAGAACTACAGGGGCGAATCAGCCGGACTTCACTCGAACCGGGAGCGAAATGTTGGTTGGAAGGCTGGATTGCTCACTGATGGCTTCTGCCAAACAAAGGGCAGCAAGCTCCCGATTACTTACGCTTTCACAGGCTAGCAGACTCGAGCTTACTGCAGGTTCATTGCATGTTGATATCGCAAAAAGTTTCTCAGTTCTTCGTCATGCCGCCAGCAGGCCTGTTGGGAAAACAAGCTAGATACCACTAAAGCGAGGTAGACTGAAGGGCATCCGTGGAAGCTGTGCTTTTAGGCAAGGAGCGTGCCAATGACAAGTCCCAGGCCCAAGGCGAAAACCGAGTTTCCACCTCAGCCCCGTCGAATGCATCCATTCTGAACCCAGAGCACCACGAAACTGCCGGCAAGCAGCCCTTGAGCATGTTAATGAAGGCCACGGACAACAGCATGGCTGCGGAGTTGGACAGAACCACCGACACAGCCAGCAGGCCACCTGTCGGCATGGGACCAGGTCACAGTCTTTACGCAACTCTGTAGAATTTGGGGGTATATGATACTAAAAATGTACATAATTATAATAAGGAATCCCCAAACCCCTATTCTGATTATTTGTCAGATCATCTTCCATCATCAGGCCTACCAGAAGCACAGCGCGAAATGTCTCCCAGTCGCTCCGCAATCCTGTCCAAGTGGACTTCGACAGTCTTGGTCTCTATCGCAGTTCGCATTCATTCGGGACACTCATATCTATCTCGTCATGGGTGGGCACGAGGCATGAAGAATCCATCGCGAAGCCCTGGTCCCCCTCGCGACTGAAAGCAGAACCACAGGACTCGGCACTGAGGCTGCGATGCAAAACGATTCGGGCCTTCAGCCATGCCTGGGAAAAGGCTCGGCTTGAAGAGGCGCAGGCTGTGGAGTACCAGGCTCGTCGTGAACATGTGGCAGCCTGGCAGAGAGGCCACTCTTCTCAAGAAATCCGCAAGATTCTCCGGAACAACACACATCAAGCAGCCGGTGGCTGTGCCCGCCAGATATCACAAGCCCCACCCCCACCCCTGCCCCCCATGAACTTCTGACCAGCAGCAGGAGAGCGTCAGAGGATAAGGAAAGTCGGCTCCCGACCTAAGCAGCGAGCGAAGCAAAGTCCTCTTTTTACATCTGGTAAATCCGCATTCAATTCACCAACCAGGGCATGCATCTCGACGTCTGTGCAGCAAATCAGGAAAAGGCAAGAAGGCTTTCTCGGGCCTCCTCCCATGAGCTTGCAATGATTCAGCCAGGATGCGGGATGAAAATCCATTTGTTGAAGATGGAGAGGATCATCGACAGCACCATCCACGGCAGAGCTTCTGGCGTGGCAGACCAAAGGCTCCTGTCCTCCCCCGTCTTCCCCGGAGCATCCTGGGAAGGCGAGGATCCCTCCCTTGCAACCACCGTCATCCAGTAGCCAGCCACGAGCCCTGCAATGGACATCAAGCCCAGCTTTCTCAAGGGGACGATGGGCTTCTCTTGTAAGGTAGCGTTCAATGTACTCTTGCCCAAAGCCGCAGTCGTGACGTTCACACCTGGATCCGGAATTCGAAAGAGTCTGCTGGAAGCGTTGCTCGCTGCAACCAGTGCCGAACCTCCCGTCTGGCTAAAAGTAGCATCGTGGCTCAGGGCGATGCTGATCCTCTCACTGTGATTGTGCAGGGCTGCCACGGAGCCAATGCAAAGGAAAAAGACGGCTGGAGTCATGACCGGGCCGCGGCATACGGAAGGCCTGCTTTGCAGGGCAGGAGCCCTTGAGCCAGAATTCAGCGGGATCTGATCGTTTGGTGTCTGTCCCCTTGAAAGAATCGGTGCATCAGCGAAGCCGCGATGTGGGCTTTGCACTTTGCCCGCGAGACCGGTACTCCACATGTCAGCGGTGAACTGTGCTGGCCGCCTTTGGGGCAGCCCACGGGTCAGAGTCTCATTAACACGGGCCCAGGATGCAGGGACCTTTCGGGACGCTTCTCGAACGCTGGGGTGCTTCTAGGCCTAGGCATTCTCGGACTCTAAGAAGGACGGGCCAGCGCAAGCGGCGCGAGCTCTCACATGAACTGCGCCATGGGATCGTCGGCCCGCTGTCGCGTGAGGCGGTAGGCCTGGCCCACCACGCATCAATGCAGCCCTAGGCCTAGGCTGTAAATGCCCCCGGAAGGCTCCTCGTACTCCTCCGGGCTGATCTCGTCGTTCAGGCCCTCGCCGGTGACTGCGTTGTACCCGCGATTTCGCTCCTGAGCCGAAATCACTTGAGGCTCAGCCCTTCCTGAGCCTCTGAGCCTCTGAAGATCCCTGAAGCCTTTCATAGCTCCAAACCCGAAGCTCCGACTCTCGCTCTGAGATCGGAACGTCATCCAAAGTGAGGCCCCTCTTGCCCTGACAGCAGAATGGCACGTACATACACATGCATGGACACGTCGTGCGTTCTACTGGCTTATGTGTGCATGTACGTCAGCATGCACATGAGCATACAAGCATCGGTGCAATGCTGCGTCTGTATACTTGCATATCTGCGCTTTCTGGCGCAGTCTTATGATGCACCGTATTGGCTGCAACATCGGCAGTCGAGCTTACGACACATCACCTGCATACTACTACACTGTGTGCTCTGCAACACGCAAAATGCGGTTGGGTGGGAGAATACCATGTTGTGTTACATTCGGCGCCCGTGCTGAAAAGACTCTACAAGTCCGGCTGATGATGGTTGCAGCTGTCATCACTGCAGTCGTGTCGCACATACCAGGTTCGGAAAGTATCAACGATTGATGGCTCAAGATTCCGGGGCATGTTGCGTTGTCTCCAGACGTCTTCTGGCAACGAAGCATCAATCAAGGCACAAGTCCTGACCACTGAGGCTCTGGCATCACGCGCCTCCTTCTTTTCCAACTTCCTCGGAATTTCGTCACCACTTCTCAAGCATCAGAGCAGCAAACCAGCCGACCCGACATTGTATATGTTTCTGAAACCGCAGGCATTGGGCGAGGAGGACTCATTGCCAGCCAAATCGTTGCTTGCACAGCTGAAACCTATGTTTCCTTGCTGAAGCTTTGGTTGCTCGAAGCGAGGCATAAAGCCTGGAACCTTCTCCTAACCCGGACATGTTACGTGTCTTCACGGCGAACCGTCCCCTCAAGAAGCCTGTGCAACAGTGTTTAACCCCGAAAACCCGAAATTCCAAACCCCCAATCCACACCCTAAATAAAATGAAGCGAGGTGCTGCTTCTTCTTGGCAGACTCCACAGCCGAAGCAAGCCGGGCAGCGTCCAACTCCTCCACTTCCTGCACGTGTCCGGGCGTTCATTCTTGTAGGGCTTGTGAGTTTTGGATTGCGGGTTGCGCGTTGCGGGTTGAGGGTCGTGGGTTGTGGATTGTGGGTTGTGGTGTAATGGATTCTACAACTTCGGGACGGCGGGTTCGGGACGGCGGGGCTAGTGTTATTAAGTGTTTGAGGTCCTTGGGGCTGAACCCTAAACCTTAAACCGTAAGCCCTCAAGAAACCAAGCCTTGGCCCGGCCCGACCCCAGCCCAGCAGCGCAGCCTAAATCAGGAAAGCTTAGCCCCAACCCGCAGTGCCCACACAACCGAGCCCCGCCCCCTCGGCCCACCAGCCCCAGCTCAGTCCCAGTCCCTGGCCGATCAACTCCGAAATCAAGTTTAGACAGAAAGCCTGCTCAAAAGCTTTCGGTCAAAACGCTTCGCACAAAACTAATTGGCACGCAAACCCTTAACAGTTTCTATAAACCCTAAAAACCCTTAGCCGAGCCCCTTCTAGGGCCTCTTCAAGGCTTCGGGGCTTCAGGGACCCGCCTCCAAGACATGGCCGAAAGCGGAGCTCCTGCGTGAGACCCGAACGCAGAAACTACGGCGAAAGCAGCGAGAAGATGAATCCAAAATCTGTTTTGATTAGATGTGTCCGTAGGCGTATACATATACATGTATATACATACATATATATACCTACATACATATAGACATACAACTATGGGTTTAGTATTTTTAAACAAATAAACAAATATACATATATATATATATATACATATATTTATTTATTTATTTTATTATTAATATTTTATATGATTCACCGTGTCATGTCTGATATATACAGTATACAGAAAAAGCGATATACACACCCCACACCGTCCCAAGAGGGCCGGCGAGCCTCTTCTCGCTGAGCTTGGAGGCTTCCCTGCTGCCGGTAGCCGGGGAGTCTCCAGTGAGGTCCAAGTCCCCCACGCCAGCTGCACAGGGACAAAGAGGAGAGTTTTTGGACTCACTTCACGAGCCGCTTCCTCTCCCCAGCCCAGAGGTCCGAGAAATGCGGCCTGAAACCTATCCTTGGCCTTCTTAGGCTACCGATCTTTGGATTCAGGGGTTTAGGGCTGCAAGGGCTTAGGGTTCTTCTACCCAAGATCCGGCCTCCATCATCCAGGGCAGGCACGGCCTCCTCGGGGCGTTCCGCTTCCGCCTCCTCCCCCGCCTCAATGGCCTGAGAGAATGAAGGAAGCAGAAAGATTACCATTATAAGATACACTACAAAGTGCTAGGAACTATTATACTTACACTATAGCATACTATAAAGTGCTAGAACATGCCGTACTAATGTCTGCCAATGATCCTACTAGCCCTCCAAAGTAGTAGCTGCAATAATCGTCTTGGCGCGATTGCCGGTAGTAGTGGGCAGAAGTCTTGGCACGAACATCGAAAGGAGCGACATGGATGGTCATGCACATACTCGACTCAACAACACTGAAACGAAAAAGTAAGATAAACAAACGAGCAACACCACGAACTACAGCAAGAAGACACGGGAGAAGTCTTGGCCGAACACCTGCGCATCACCCTTCTTGATGGGCACGCAGTAGGAGTTCTTCATTGTCTGATGGCAGCAGGCGAAGCCAAATCTGACAGGAGCGAGCCAGGGTGGTGCAAGGATCCAGGCTCAGGAGTCAGGATTTACAGGGCTTGAGTTTGGGAATCTGGATTCAAGGGTCTAGCGTTTAGTCCTGGCATGCAAATCTCGATGACACAAGAAGGCGTCGGCCTTCAGTATGTTGGCCAGCAGGGCACCGATAAGTCATTCAAACCACCAGCTGGTTCGGCACCTTACCTGGAAGCAGCCTGAACTTCACGTGTTGCTCTTCAGTAGCCCCCCGAACCTCAAACCCAGCTGAGCTCTCGTGAAATGGGCTTCCAGCCTTCCGGTGACTGTACAGAACCAGGAGCCCCAAACTGAGGAGTGGTTGCCTTCGCAGTGCTCGCGGGGTGTTGTGTCATTGGGGTTCTTTAACGGACTTTGCGAGGGTTGCCGTCAGGGTTATGTGACGGGACGGAAGTTTGGGGAACTTGGGCGGCGATCGACGGCGTTTCTTGCACAATTTGAAAGCCATGTCTTTCTTAACCACGGTCCAAGCCTACGAGGACGTCCTCTTCGTACTTGGACTTGGTCAAGGCCCGTTCCTGGCCCTTGAGCACACGCCCATCACGAGCGTACCTGGCATCAGTTGAGAGGGCGCAGCCCAGAATCATGCGGCACCCTTCCACCAATGTTAATGCCGACACACGGCCACTGCTGCTCGGAAGGATCTCGGTGAAAAAGTGCGAACTCATGCCGAAGTGACCCCATACCGTAAATTGCAGATCCCGACTCAAAGCTGCGCAGGATCATGCAGCTCGACGGCTTCGGCATTGTGACTGCGAGGCTGTCAACTCATGCCATGCGCGCTCGACATAGTTCTCGTTCTGGGAGAAGATCAGCTCCCTTGGTGCTTCCATGTGTTCCTGGCCGCCGTACCTGGCATTTCAGCACAGCTGAAACACTCGGAAATGTGCAGAGCTTGGATTCAACCACGGTCTTCTTCGAACAACACCTGACTCCTGCAGAAACCACCGGGCACTTGTCCATGAGCTCTTTCTGCTGCTGATCTTTCAAGTTCGTGGCCCGGTTTTTGTACACCTGCAGATATCCGCAGGCGCTGGGCCATGTGTTTTCGAGTTGGGCAGACGTGGCTAGATGCACTTATGACGCGAACTTGCAGCATGCACATATATCAAACGCAAGTCGCTGCGTCGGCCAGCCTCAAACATCTTCAATGCTTGAGTTGGCTGGGCTGTATCATGGATCTTCTCACCTGCCATACAAGTCGAATGCCTTGGGATGTGGCACGCCCTTGGCCCTGCACCCACATCGAAGCCAGGCGGGACGACCATGTTTGTAGGAGTCCCACGCAAAGCACATGAGCTCCGTGAGTTGTTTGGAGTCGCCGGACTGCCTGAACCAGGGAGTCTGTGCCATGTTCGGTGATCTTCAAATACTGGCAGCACTTTGAAGGGCTTCGAGTTGCCTGCCCGCACCTGGATGGATCGATTTCGGTTTGAAGCAAAGAGGCATGTTTGGTCAGTGAACTCGCCAGCCTGAAGAACAACCTCCTACTAAACACTAGACTAGACCCCAAAACCTCGAGAACCCTTCACGAACTTCGTGACGAAGGGCCTCCAAGGCCCAGACCCTTGGAAGACTCCGCTACTTCTCGCATTCTGAGTTGCCCAGCATACCCCGGAGTTCTCTAGAAAGTAACGGATCATGACGCATTGAACCCCGAAACCAATCGACCCTGCCGGCACCTCAGGAAGTTATCTCCGCGGAAAGCAGTCCCCTTCTCCTCGTCCTTTGGAACGCAGGAAAAGGAGAGAGGCCTTCGAGGACCCGGAAAAGCCGAATCTCGCAGCCCTCAACTCTTGAAACCGTCTCCTTGAGGTGAGCGAGAGGATCCTGTCGCATGGACCTGACGTGCACGGATCCGGCTTTGAGACTCGCCAAGTCTCTGAAGGACTGGGCCTGGCCTGGACTTCGGATCGTAGTAGGCGGAGTTCACGTCCAAGTTCAAAAGGTACTTGGCAGTGTCTTCCCGGATTCGTAGATTCCTGCCCACTTCGAGTTCATGGCCTAATGGGTCATTTGGCACCGTCCGAGAACCATATGCTCCAACAATTTAGTTTATCTCATGCCCATTCCGAATCTTTGAACCGGACAAAGCCGGAGACTTGCTAGAAACAGCTCGCGCTTCGTGGATTTCAACCTGCCGTTTGCAAGAGAAGATTGGAAGGATCACATGAGCCTCCGTTGAACCCCTGATCACTCATTGTTCCCTTGCACCTCACCACGATCTAAAGATGCACTTCCTGTCTGCCCGTCTGGCTCTGCAGAGGTCGTAGAACCCTCCCTACAAAAGAGCTTCCAAAGCCTCTCAGCTGAGTCCTCGTCGTGGTCCGCAGCTTGTCGTCCTTTGCTGCCACGGTCGAGGTCGATTTGTCGAAGTCCTTGAGCTTCTCGCCTAGGTCCTGCCACAGGGGGATCCGTGAGATGACGTGAGATGACGAAGAGATGTGCAGAGTGCAGACGGTCGACCTTGATTGGAGTCAGTGCGGCTAGTATGGTCTGACTGATGAACAGTGTTGGGCCTTCTGAGTGTTCTCTCAATGAAGCTTACCTTCCCCCTGTGGTTTCGGGCCCTGCTGACATTGTTCAGAAACTGGCATCGCACAAAGCTCGCTCACAGCCAGCTAGAGCACCCCGGCCTCGTCGTCGGAAGCCTCGCTGTCGCTGTCGGTATCGGTGTCTGTGTCCGAATCTCCAGTGTCCTCAGCACAGCCGTGGAACGAAAGCAGCGTCTACAAAGCTCCAAGGTACGTCAAGGTCCCGGCAGAGTCTCCGGTGTCTGTGTCATCGTCATCTCTTCCTTCTGCCTGGCAAGTTCTCGCCTGGACCGCACCTCCTCCAACAGAAGCCTAAAGTTCCTAAGGCTGACCCCCCAAACATGACGTACTCTCGGCCAAACTCCTCCGCTCAGTCTGAAGCCCAAACTGAGGCTCAACAGTCTCAGCCCTGAGGCATAAAGCGTACACGCTCAACATATCAACCTCCAAGACGAGGAGCCTGCCTTTCATGATAAGTAGTCAGAACGGGTCTCTCACGACAGTGGTACAAGCAGCCTGCCGACGCAGCTGTCGCCGTCGCTGCTTGCGCTTCTTCTTCAGCAACTTCTTTTGAGCTTTCAGGCGCCTTGAATTCGGCTTCAAGGGAGTACTGCCAACAAGCTTCAAGCGTACGAGTAAGTTTCATCATTGACACCTTTCATGGGCCTGGGAAAGTTTCCTTGAGTCTCAGGATCCCTTAATTTGCCCCCCAGAACCGATCACAATGTGAGTTGCCACTATTCTACAGCCTACATGCCTCAAGCCTTCTTGGACATTCAGACTAAAAACCACAAAAACGGATACCTATGGACATGGTAGCCTGATGCAAGCGATGCAAGAAGGAAACCCCTTCAGAAGAATCCACCATTGAGAACAGCTCCCATGCCTCCAACTCCAAAGCTCCAGGGCCCAAGGGCTTCAGGCGATGCTGTAAAGGCCATAATTAACTCGAAAAGTCTAAGCGCTGTCAAGGCTTCAAGCTGCTTTCTTGCCTGTCCCTCATGAACCCCTTCAACCAGGCCGTGGTGCTCTTTCAGCTTCGCGCGCTCTTCCATCTCCGCGGCTTTCACACGCCTTCGCTCGGCTTCGACCCGCTCCCACTCCTCCAAGGCAGGGCGCTCTACGAAAGGGAAGCCATCCGACGAACCTTTGCGAGGAGCGATAGAAAGCAGAAGCGGCCGGTTCCACCCCCCCGACAGCTTCTCCTCGATGACTTGCTTGTAGTCGTCTGCTTGGAAGCCGTTCCAGCGGTCGCGCTTGCCGTCGTAGTCCAGGCTTAACTCCTGTTGCATAAGCTGAAAATGAAACCGGCGAAGCAACAATTGTGGATTTCACTACTGCAAAGGCTTCACAAGTCTCCGTGATGTACTCATCGGGCATGAGGTTTTTGCCATTCTGCTTGGCGGTGATCGCGCGGGGTCTTTCCACGCAATCCTGTCATCTTTGAAAGGGATCTCGCGCAACAGACGTGAATAGAGAAGCGAAGCCTTCTTCGTGTGGGTTGTGGCGCCGCAGTTTTCGCAGGCACCTTTGATGAACTTGGTCTTGACGTCACCTTTGGTGCCTGGTTACAGTCAGCAGTCAAGCTTCCCAGACTTGGGTATGGAGGGTACGGGAGCCCTGCAAATAGGATTCCGGTTTGGGCAGCAGACTGCTGCACGAGAAGTCTTATCTCAGCGCTGACAGCCATTACGCTGCATGAGCCCTGCACCCTCCCCATCTCGCCACACCTCGAATGTACCAATCCTTCGTGCCCATCGACTTTGTATTCCATGCTTGGTGATGTCTCAACGAAGGCCGATCTTGGTTCAGGTACCAGGGTGCCTGCACAGACATGCCATGCGCTCCTCTCTGCTTCGCAGCCCTGGAGACAAAAAGAGTCAACAACAGGGCCTGGCCTTTGTGATGAACTCTGGGTTGTGCGGGTTGATCATCTTTCCCGTGAACTCATCGGTCTCCGGGGCGGCAGTGCCGGCAGCACGTGCCTGGCAGGGGCGAAGTGCTTCGTTGGACAATCAAGACAGTGAGGAATAGTGAGGATTGGGATTACGTTGGGCTTCCTCATTCTGTATTTCACGTCTCGTAGCTTCGTCAGAGTCATGTGGCTTGACAACTCGGACATCAACGAAATGCTTGCAATGAATTGGTGAATTCACAGGATGGCCTTGCCACCTCTACAGAAGTTTCTACTGGCACTGCAGCTCCACCTAGATCACCCTGAACACCCGAGTGCACAAGTCAATCATGATGCAGCGGTACGCGTGGGCACATGGGCACTTGAGTTCTTCCGGAGATCCCGCATCACCAGTATCATCAGCGACGATGACAACCAGGTGTCGAGGTAGGACTGTAGAGGGAAGCCGTGCCTCCTGCAGGGCTTTCTGCTTTTTGGCATCCTCCCGTGTGGTGAAGCTGTCCGCCACTGCCGACGACCTGGCCGAGGTAAGAGTTGTAGGGCCGAAAAGTTTGTTGTTCTACCTGACGACTTCAAGCTTTGGGGGTTGCTGTGCATGCCGGCTGTGCGAGGGTGTGCCGACTTTGGCTCTCATGATGCGCCCACCACAGCCACCACCACAAAGGAATTAGGGCTTCAGATCCGATTAGAATGTGCCGACCGAATCCTTCTAAGCCGTCTCCCTCTGGCCCTTGTCATGCCGAAGTTGCGCCATCTCGTCGCCGGTCGCCGACGCGGCCTGGGACGCTCCTCATGCACGAGTTTTGACACTATGAGTGTCATTTCTGACTATTTGGCTTTCATCAGCCCATTACCTGCTACTGCTGCAACCATTACAAGTTTTGTGACTGATTATTTTGATACTCACCTTTACCGCCATTACTGCCAACCTTCGTGTGATTCATGCTCATTAGTAGTAACACCTGCGGCAATAGAGGTAGCAGTGGCAGCGGCAGTGGCAGTAGTAGTAGCAGCAACAGTAGCGGTTGCAGGTGTTGCTGTCGTCGTCGTCGCAGTCGCAGTTGTAGCGGTAGCCGAAGCCGTTGTCGTAGTCGCAGTCGTCGTGGTAGTAGAAGTAGTAGCAGCAGCAGTAGCAGCAGCAGTCGCAGCCGGCGGAGGTGGAGGAGGAGGAGGAGGCGGAGGAGGAGTGGTGGCAGTGGTGGTGAGAGTGGTAGTGGCAGTGGCAGTGGCAGTGGCAGCGGCAGTAGCAGCGGCATGCTTCCTGAAATGAAGTCTAAGGATAGGCGGGCCATGCTTGCCGGAAGAGAAGGAACAAGCCTCAGAGCCTTGTTCAGAGTTCTCCCAAAGTGCAGGCGGCCCACCTCGTAGCCTCAGCCGGCTGGGTATGCCGGGAGGAGCCCCGTCTCTTGAGCCATGCAGGAGCAGATTTCTTGAGCTCTTGTGCACATCTCCTGGAGAGCTGACAGAAAAAGACACTGACACCAGCAAGGCTTTTCAGTGCTTTCGCCCCTGCGGGTCGAAGGTCACGAACGTACCAGCCTCGTGTCTCCTATATGGGTGAACTAGCTGGCAGGCCGCTAACATGGGCAGGAGCTGCTCCGACCCCGAACAATCGCAAAACGTGGCCTGCCCACTGCCAAGAGATAGATCCCTTACACTTGCAAGAGATGTCTGCGAGAAGAACACCAGCATAATGAGGTTCTGTGCAAACATAGCAGGTGCAATGGTGTATGAACTGCCAGACATCTCCAGTACCGCTGTACAGCTGCTTGCGCTATGCCAGTCCAGCGGATGGGATGAGCGATTGGCACTGGTTGAGTGAAGAAGTTGAAAAATGCCTTGTCCCCTGCCGCTGAGCTGATCGCCTAAGCTGCCTCCAGGCAACGCAGAAGGCACACAAACTGCGCCTACAGGCTCATCAAAGCTGACGAGCTATCGAGTGCGAAGCCGTCGTAACAGTGTAATTCAGAAGCAAGTCTTTTTGTATTCGGAATGTGGCGCTGGCGTCCGGGTTCGGGAGTGGCTTCGTGCTGCCCAACTTTCGCCGGGCATTCACTTGGAAGTGAAGCACTGGGAGGCTCATTGCAGGAAAAAGTTCCACCTTCCAGCCAATTCTCTAACGCAACACAGAACTCATGCCAGAACTCTTCGGACAAGACTTCTTTCGGCCTGCGGACACCTTTCAACAGCCAGACAATCCACATTTCACGAACGCCGAGCTTTTGCCCGAGCGACTCTGCATGCGAAGCACCTGGGATTCTCATCTCTCAGCGGGTGGCTCCTGGAAGGCTCAGCAAAGGATTAGCCCGGCAAGGATGACAGTCTTGTTCGGGGCTGAGCAGGATGTGAGCCGAATCGCATGAGCATCTCCCGCTCTTGCGGATCCCGCGGGCGAGGCGAGAACGCGTAAAAGGAAAAAAGACGGTGCGCTTTGTGAGGTCAGTCCTGGCCATCTGCAGGGAGTACCTTCGAGGGCAGAAGTTATCGTGTCCAAACACACGAATACCAAAAGCCTAAATCCAAAGCCCCCTAATCCCCTGAACCCCCAAACCCCCAGACCCCCTGAAACCCCAAACCCAAACCGGCTGCAAGAGCGGCGCACCCGAGGGATCAGAAAGGGTCGCCGCTCCAAGGCGATGCAGATGAGGCCTGCCAAGGCCTGGAGCGGAGCAACTCAACTCCAATTTGATCATGCTGCGCAAGGGTCCTAGCATTACAGACACATACACATACACATATACATACACATGCACCTATACCTAAACCTATACATGTACTCATACCTATACCTGTGCCTACACATATACATGTACACATACATGTACATGTACGTAGACATATACATATGCATATGCACGAGCATATACATATACACAAACACATACATATACATACATATTATGCAAACGAAATAGAATATTTTGTCGTATCATATCATCGTTTAGAACAGAATGGAATGTACAAAAACAAACACAAGTACATACTATAATATAGCACAAGAAAACATATTACGAGATAATTTAAACCAAATACTATATTCTAAGTAAACATAACACACTAGACTATGATATATTGTACCATAATGTAATATGTAATACTCTAAGATAAGGTCAAACCAGACCAGATCAGATAACATAAGATAAGATTACATCAGAAAACAAAAGATAAGGTCATATGACATAATACCACATAGTACAACATAATGTAAGATAACACAGCATAATATACTGTAGCAAGCATAATGAAACCTACCACATTAGCCAATAATGTAATGTAGTGCATTTGTTGTAGAATATCAGAAACATAAACATATATATATATGTATATATAGATACGCATAGCTACATAAAGAACATACAGTATATAATGTGTGGTGCACAGTACGGAATATGCAACAGATCTGCCCCATGCCAACAACCCCCAGACTTACGGCAAATTGAACCTTGACAGCTCTCTCGCAGTCCAACCTCGTCCTCAAGACTTTCCAGCTGATCCAGGATGTCCTTGCACAACCATTTCGCAAAAGACTCCAGGCTTCGGAGTGTCTACGAGTACAACAGCCATCGAAGCAGCTGGTGCCCGAGCCGAGCTGCAACTCCACCCGCTATCATGAGCCCTGGTGCTCTGGCATTCTCACCCGAGTGTTAGACTCAGATACCATACGCATGTCATACGCTCAGTGCCGCAAAGCCAAGATAAAGCCATTCCAGCGTCAGCAGGTGAAGCTTCAGCTGCAGAAGCAAAAAGTGCACGGGACACGACCCTCAAAGCCCAAACCCCAATGTACCGCCGATCCCCGACCATCTGTCCCATCCCGAATGCCTGAACCCTCAACCCCAGACCCTAAACACCAAACCCTATACATCCTGAATCACGGACCCCCCAGCCATCAATTCGCAACCCTAAGTTCAGGACAACGTAGACTTTTCAATGACAGCTCCACAGGACTGAACCCCTGAAAACCCTGGGACGGCCTTGCCTCAAGGGGCGTCCTCTGCGGCCTCGCAGCAGGGCCATGCATCTTCTGAGCTTCTGGAAGATCCCGGCTGGGTTTGGGGTTCAGGCGGTTTAAAGTTTCAGATTCGGGCCCTGGGGTTTAGAGGAATCCTGAGTCTCGAGGTCAACAGTCTGAGACGAAGATAGCGAACAACCAATCTTTGCTGCAGTCGGCTCTGCTGCTCTTGCGCCGATGGCGCCAGGAACTGCGCCTGTCTGCACCCTGGCTTCCCTCCGTTGCATCAGTCTCCTGCGACGAGGTACACAAGCAATCAGGCTTCTGGTTTGGAAGCTGTCCCCCCGACGCCGAGCCCTTTCGAAGCCGTGAAAACCCACAAATCCTAAACCCCAAAAGCCCCCCAAAAAAAGCGCTGAAGCCCGAGAGCGAAGCACCAGCTCCTGCGTGGACAGAGCTGCTCGCGGTGCCTCTCAGGAGCTGCTCTGGGGTGCTTAAAGTCTTAGGGCTTAGGGGTTTTGGGGGTTTTGGGGGTTTGAGGTTAGGGTTGTCTTTGTCTTGAAAGCTTTTTGTGTTTACGGCTTGGGGCTTAGAAGGTCCAGGCTCTATGACGGCTTTGACAGGATTTTGTCAGGGTTCTGTAAGAGTTGTATAAGGGTCACATGTTTCTCTCTCTCAGTCGCGCAGAGCAAGTCCACAAGTGAGACTACTCGTCAGCAGCCCTTTCAGCTGATTAACGCAAAACTTCTAACTGAGCCCAGGATCTACGGTTTTGAGCTAACGGCTGTAGGGTCCTCCAAAGGTCAGTATTACCAAAAAATCTGGAATGGGCAGCAGCCACCTCTCTTTCTGTAGGATGGTGATAGATATCGTGGTGTATTTGGTAGGGGCGGGGAATAGGGGAATTCGAGGAAAGTATTTGATAGCGTTGGTACGCTTGCGTCATGGTCAATTCGGCCCAATGTATGCGAGGGTGGCCAGGTCTTTTCCTATGGAGGCGTCTGTAGGCATGTGCTGTTTGGTAGGTGGAGATGTGTTCGATTGAATCTGCATGTCTGAGGATATGTCCGAGATAAGAGATCCGGGATGAAATGATATTCTGTGATGGAGATAGAAGTTTGGGGGCGTACTCATAGGCAAGCTGGGATAAATATTCGTTAGAGCATTCTGCCTCCGATGGTTCCAAGACTTTATGATAAAAGGAACTTTTGATGTTGAAGATCTGTCTAAGGACCTTGTAGTGTAGCTTGTTCAGTTTAGTGAGGTCAGGTTGTAAATACATCTGCGATTCCGAGCCATACAGAAGGATGGCCAACACGATCTGGGAATGAACTAGCAGCTTTCGCTTAATGGTTATGGAGGGGTGCCTAAAGAAGTCATGTAGACATTTGGCCGCGTGCGAGGCCTGCGCATATCGCTTTTTAGCGTCCGCTTTGGCGGCTGAGTTATGAGTTAGAACAGCTCCTAAGTAATCGGCGTGGGGTTTAGGATCTATGCGGAGTTCTTGGGGTAGCTGTGGGTTGCTTCTCATGCAACAGAAGTCACATTGGCAAGGGTGGGTTGTGGTATCGGTTAGGTATATGGGCAAATCAGTGTTGATACAGAGAAGCTGGCACTTCTCGTGATTCAAGGACATGCCCCTTTTGTAAGAGTGGGCCTGTAATGTGTGAAGAAAACGGTGTAGGGACAGTCTCGTGCGAGATAATAAAACTGTATCGTCGGCGTACTCTATATCTGTAAGGCGAAAATCGGTAGTAAGTACTGAAGGTCGGGGGCCATACTCTGCCACGTACGCTGTGTACGTATCATGAAAAAGCACTGAAAGGGTAATGATAAACAAATACGGCGATAAGGGGCATCCCTGGCGGATGCCCTGGGCGAAGGCTTGCGGGCGGGACGTATAGCCCGCGTCCTTCACTCGAAAATGACAGTCTTCGTAGATTGACAGTACCGGATTAATGAATGTATCGGGGAGACCTACTCGCTGCAGTGCGTTGCGCAACGCTGGGTGGGAGACTGAGTCAAAAGCCTGTGACCAATCAAGGAAAAGAGCATAGAAGGATTCCTGGTGTCGCTCATGTAATTCAAGCAATCGTCGAAGGACGAATAAAGGCGTAGAGGTGGATTTGCCGGTTCTAAAACCGAACTGAACCGGCGAGATACGGTCATCAATAGCAGTTTTTAATCTGTCATGGAGAAGACAAGCATACAACTTGTAAACCGTGTTGATCAATGAGATGGGGCGGTAGCTTGTAGGGAGAGTGGGGTCTTTCTTTTTACCCTTAAAGATCATCACTATGTCTGCCACCTTCCAGGATTTAGGCGAGATTGCCTGCGTAAAGGTTTTGTTAAAGTGCGCCAGTAGCGCAACATGAACCGATCTAGGCGCGAACTTCCAAATTTCCGCCGGCAATTGATCGGGGCCAGGGGCTTTGCGATTCTTGAGGCGCGCCAGCGCCCTTAATAATTCGGGTTCCGTAAATGGACTGGTGTCAATGGGAGCCGGGGGGAAAATAGGTTCGGAAGGGAGTTCTGGGAGGTTTCTGTGATTCCAGACTTTAGTGGCTAAATGGCTAGCCAAGACATCGGGTTTAGCGGCTTTGGTGGACATCTGGCCATTAGGTTTGCGAATTCCTTGGGTTCTTGGTGTGTGTAGTCCTTACGCAGAAATTTGAGAGCGGACCATTGCTTTGAGGAGGGGCCTTTAGAGTCTTGGAGCAGGTTATCGCACAGGTGTTGTTTTTTGTCTTTACGGGCACGTCGTTTGATGGCTTTTCGGAGCTTTTGCAAAGCTTCGTGGTCATCCGGGGAGGTCGAGGAAATGCGATCGATGAGTCGTTTGGTCGGTTCCGATAAGTATTCTTTATGGTAGGTGCGTTCCTGTTTAGTGCGGGGCGCTATCTTCAGCGCAGCTTCCTGGAGCGCTGTGGCTTGTTCTTCAACCGAAAGCTTCTCGAATAGGGGTGGGGCGGAAAGACGTATGGTATCGCTCAAAGGTTGTCGGGGAGGGTAGGAATGCCTCCCGATTGTGGTGGAGGGGGTAACTCCTTTCTTGGCTAAGGTGTCGGCGCGTTCGTTTCCGTCGTGGCCCGAATGTCCTTTGATTTTCATTAGCGATACGGTGATACTGGAGAGAAGGTGGTCCAGGAGGATGCGTAGTTTGGTTAAGAGTCGAAGGTGTTGCGTGGGTATGGAAAGGCCATGGAGAAAATCGTAAGCGAGCTGGGAATCGGTATAAACGTTAAGAGCAGAAATCGAGAGATGGGTTTTGTGTCTGGCGACATAATCCAGTGCCTCTAATAGGGCCTGTAGCTCGGCGGTATTGTTAGAGCCCACGACTTGGAGCTCTAAGTTGTGGCCCACTGGGCCCCATGAGTCAGTCCAGGTATTGTTGTGATGGATTGTGAAGCCCCATCCGGCTGGATTGCCTACTCGAACATTATATTGATCAGGGCAAGCACCGTCTGTGTATACGCAAGGCGCGTCCAACACAGGGGCAGTGCCTAAGAAGTGGACTGGTTGTTGCGTTACGTGCGCAAATGCTTCCGCGAATTCTCGCTTAAATTTGAGTTGGTCGTCTTTGGTTCGAGGAGGCGTGATTTTAGGTGGCGGAGGTTTAGGGGGTTTTTGAAACTTGTCAAAGGTGATCGTGAATGAAAGTGGGTAGTGGCGGTGGAACCACGGTAGTTTCCAACTGGTCCTGGTGGCCGCGGCTTTGATGTTGTGCAGTGACGTCATGGGCGCCAGCACATGATCAAGGCAAGAGAAGTCTGTGTTGTCTGGTTGTGTGGGAGATGCCTCCGGAGAGGACGCGATCTCCCTATATGAAACGATCTGGGAAGCCGGGCGCGTGTGGAAGGAGGATGCGATCAAGTAGTCATTGTGTACCAAAAAGTCCAGCAGCTTGAAATAATTGGTGGTATACGTGTCGTCCGCAGGGGCGTCACTTAAGAAGACTGCTTTACCGATATGTGCCGAAAATTCTTCCAATTCCGTCGGAATAATTCTTGCGTTAAGATCTCCCATATAAAGAATCAAGGAAGGGCGAGGAAGATTGCGATGGATTTCTTGGAGATCGTCCCAAAATTTATCTTTTCGGGCTTCATCGGCGTGGGGGTCCGATAGCTGACTAGGCGCATATAGCGTTACTAGATGAGTCGGGATTGGCTGTGTGCGTAGGGTCAGGGCCGCTATGCGGCCCGAAAAGGGAAGAAAGTCGGATACCAGCGGTATGCGGTGGGCAGGGATGTAAAAGCCCACCCCTGCCATGTGCTCCGTGGGCGTGCCCGAAAGGAGGAGTTTACCTCCGCCTATTCTACGTTCGTCTGAAGAAGTGGACTTCGTCTCCTGTAATGCCAGGATATCAATCTTCCTTTGTCGCGCGAAGCCCGCTAGGGCTTCCTGTTTCCCATGTCCAATTAGTGTTTCGATGTTAAAAGTACAGACGTGTAGTCTGTTGCGTTCAGGGCGCCATCCAAGAAGGCGCGTTGGTAGATCTAAAAGCGAAGGCTGCACGTAGGATCTGAAAAGATGAGCGCGAGATCCTAGAGTTGGCGCTGTGTTCCCTCTGCCATAGGCTCTTTCGAGTTGGGCAGGGCTATTCGTTACCCTTTTCGGAGGGAGCCGGGGAAGGACCAGGGTAAATTTTCCATCCTCCAGCGCGTCACGGACCCATTGTCTATAATCCCGTCTGGAACTAGAGCGGCTGGCGTTGTACTTAGATTGTCGCGCAAGCATAGCTTTCGTGGATCTAAGGCATTGATGATTCCGTTTTCCCTCCGACGCACAGCGAGATTCGTGACCACTAGCCTGTGCTATGGTGTGGCGATTAGCGCCGTTATGTAAGCCAAAAAAGTTGCGGAATAATTGTTTGGGGCGGCCGTGGTCCCCCGGCGTGCCTCTGGCGGCTCTCGCAGCACAAATGTGACCATATAGATTGCGTGCCTTGTTTCCGTAATAGACGGAATAGTGGCGAGTGCCCCGTCTAAAAAACCATAAAGAGAGGTGGGCGCTGCAGTAATGGTATTTGTGTACTGCCATTCCATTCTTGAGACAAATAGGTATCGAATGGAAAATTTCAGGACAATATGCAAACTCTCTGTCCACTAGCGAGCAATTACAAAGTCGACACCAATGGTTTCCCCTCAAAGCATGCAGGAAGCGGTTGCGATTTTTTCTCGACTCGAACCAAAAGTCCTTTGCGGCGTCTTGACGGCCCGTGGCAAAACAAGACGAAGAGAAGGAAGACCCTTGCCTCTCAGAACCCTGAACCTGAACGGCAAAGGGGAACCGAGGGCAAACGGGAAGAAAAGGCTGGCACAAATGGGGAATCACCCCAAAACTCGTCGGCTGGTTTCTCTGGCACAGCTGTAAAAGAGCGTTGCTCTTGTTACTGGCAATCTTTGGTTCCCCCGAAGGGGTAGTGGCAATCAGTGTCCTATTGGCAATCTGTTGCTCCCATTGGGAGCTAATGGCAATCTGTGTGCTCCTTAAGAGCAACTTACATATCCTAACGGTAATCTGTAGGTCGCCGCTGCTTTGAGGGTGTGGGGGCTGGCTTATAAGGTCGAGGAGAGAGGGTGGTTGAAAGTTTGAGTGGATTTGGGCCTGTTGGAAGTGTACGTTAGTAGGCTTCAAGTAAGGCTGTGGGGGTCTCTGTGGACTGCTGAAAAGGTGGCTCTGAGGCCAAGGTCAGTAGACCGAAACAACTTGTACCCAAGGATATCTTGTGTCCTTATGCTGGTGTTGAAACATCGCCCATGCTGTGCGCCACGCTAGCAAGTGCGCACCTCCTTCTGCTAATGCTAACATCAAGGTTTCCATGATGTTGCCTTTGTTGACGTGGGCCCGCCATTGGACCGCCTGTACCTCCTGTGTGCTAATCTGCATTAGCGGCAAAATGTATTCTAGCAGTTTGACTAGCTGATCGTTGGGGGCCTGAAGTTGGGACTTCTTTGTGTCTCTGAGGACTCCATACACCGCGGCTATCTGCCAAAAGACAGCATCAAAGTACAATGAACCAAACCCTGCCGAAGTTCCCACACCCTTGTTGTCGAAAGGGGGAGTGGCTTGGATGCAGGCTTTGAGGGTGGGGTCGTTGTCTAGGTACCACACAAATTCCTCAGCGAGGGTCTGAAAAAGATCTGTGCTGGTGCGCTTCCATGCTCCTTGTAGTAGCCATTCAAGTGAAGGTTGGTCCCATGCCAGGTCTGGGGGGTTTTCCTGTTCCTGCTTAGCCTGTTCATAGGCAAGCCACAGGGAAGAAGCAATCAGCCTATCCCAGGGGAGCATTGGGGAATGGGAGACATCGACTATGCGTGCCCAGTCTCCCAAGTTGTAATGTGCCGTTAGGTCATCAAAGTGTTTGCTCCACACTTCCTTAAAGTACTGTGCAAACCAGGATGCTGTGTAAAAGGTGGCCTGGAGAACTGGTTCGTATAACGGTCCCCACATGTTAACGATGTGTTCCTCTGTAAGGGCCCAGCTAGGGTTACTCCAAGGGAGTCGCGTCGGCTTAGGGGGGGGCATCAGGGCCGTAAGGTCTGCTTCAAAAACACTGACCACCCAGTAGGCGGCGTGTTGCTGGGGCGAAAAAGAGCTAAAGTTCGTACCTTCGTAGGTTTCTTTCATTGCTGCAATGAATTTGGTTGTGACCTCGGGGGCTTGCATGATAGGGTCAAGATCAAACAAGATGCGGTCTAGCTGCAATACCATGCACTTCGTTGCCGTGGGAAGGGAGGTCCAGGAGTCTTGGGCCTGCTTAGAAGACCAGTACTTACGATGCTCCTGGCAGAAACTACAGTTCTGTGCGAAGCCTAGGGGTTTATCACAGAGTTGTTGGTCGTTGGTGGTACATGGGCAAATGAGAGTCTTCCAGGGGACCGTGTCTTTCCACATGAAACCGGGGGGCACTGGGTGTTCCTTACACTTAGGGCAATCAATGCAGTAACCCAGGGCACAGGAGCAATGCTCGCAAATAAAGACTGGCTGAATGTGACTGTGGCCTTTACCTTTGTTGTGCTGGGTCTGTTGCTGTTGGGAGCCTTTGCCCGGGCCTCCGAAAATTGGGCCTTTAGGTGTTCTGGAGGGGGCCCAGGGACCTGAACCCCAGGCGCCCCAACTATCATTGTTATCCTGGTCGTCGTCCTTCTTCCAGTTGGTTCTGGAGTCGTGGTCGCGTTCCTTCCATTGGCCCTTGGCCTGGCCTTTATCTTTGGGCTTCTGGTATGTGTTGTAGTCAGACCATCCAGATTTCTGGGACCATCCTTGGTAAGAGGATCGGTGACTGCTGCCTTTGCCCATCTGGGGAGTCCATTGGTCCTGGCGATCGTTTCGGGATTTGGTTTGGGGCTTACCTTTTCCGGCTCCCTTAGCCCTAGGGGACCCTTTGCCGTAATCCTCAAAACCCTGATCTAAGAAAGCCTGGGCCGTCAAGGCGGTCATGCCGCCAGCGCCTTGAAAAGGCAACATGGGGTGAGACTCAAGCATAGAAGCCAGATCATCCGAAATGCGTACCGGCATCACCGTGTAAGGGAAAGCCTGCGCGTGGGAGGCAGTAGTGAGGTCGAAGGCCTTGTCGTAGGAAGCGCGTTGCACAGTCGTGCGGTCAGAAGTGGCGCGCTTGAGCGCCTGTGCCAGAAATAAGGTATCCCGAAGTCTCCGCGAAAATTTTGCATGCCATCTTGTCAGAGCCGCGTCGTAGAATCTGTCATGTACCAAAAGCAAGCATGAGTAGCGGCGCGCAAAGCGCGGATCAAGCACGCAGCTCACCTGCCCAATAAGTTGCTTGGGCTCCACCCGCTTAGGGGTCCAGATCTGCAGTGTCTGCCTCCAGGTCTGTAGGGAGGCGTGGGTGTCTTCTCCAGTTTCTTCCACATAGAGCTCGGCAAGGACGTCAAGTAGAGCATAATACGGTTGCATGGCCAATCTGTCTTCCAATGGCTGATCCTGCTCAATCCTGATCTTGTGGTCTTGCTGCTGGGGGTCGCGCCAGTAACGGCGACCTTGTCTCATCTGGTCCCTAAACTGGGCAGCTTGCTGTTCAGTGAGAAATTCCAGGCGAACAAGTGAAGAGGCGGAGGAAACCATATGATTGTGCATCGCCGCCACCTGGTCCCATTGGAGGCCGGCGGCTTGCAAATAATACCCAACATTTGCGTCCAGGGTCTTCTTGTTGAAAATTGGCGGTAAATCCAGCAAAAGTATGGTTTTGTTGGCCTTGGAACGCTCCAGCACCTGCAGTTGGCTGGAATGCCTGTCCAGGGTATACTGTGTCATCGCGAACTCATGTTGTGCCATCTTGTAAAATTGATCGCAGCACATCTGCAACTGGTCCAAGGAAGGAAGGATGCTCTTCTGGTGGTACTGCAGCATGGCTTGCTGCACGTTGTCCTCTGCCGTCAAGTTTGGCATGGCTCTTTCAGTAATGCTTCCAAAATCTCTCTTCTTCGTGGTAGGCTGCTCCGACCATGTGCCATCTGTGGGATTATAAAGTCTGTCTGTTGTGTGGATAGCCAGAAAATCTCGGCGGGAGCTCTTGCTGCTCCGAAGCTTGTTCTGCAGTTCTGGGTCCAGGTCCGCAAAGTTGATGTCAAGTTCCACGAGCTTCACCTCAAATTCGGCCATGTCTTCCTCATCATCGGTCCTCTGCTTCTTTGGTGGCGAGGTCGGCGCGGCGTGGGCCTTTGCCTCTGCCCTCTGCTTTTGCCATTCTCGAAACTGTGCCAGCTCATCCTGGGCAATCTCATCGCCGCCTGTGCGCGGCGCCAGCTGCGGTAGCGTTGGCCCGGCGGCCATCGGCTCACTGGGTGCGCTGGGCACCTCCGTCGGCTCCAGCGCGGGAGCTTCCTGGGACTCCTGCTCCTCTTTCTTGGCCATGGCTACGTCGGCCATGGCGCTGTAAAAATTCTAGGAAAAGACTTACCGGGAGGGAACACCAGCTAGGACACCGAAACTGTGAAGAAAGCTGTGAAGTAAAGCTGTGATGCCACACTGCCAAAGGCGGGGGCGGGACTGCGGAAGTGAAGTCCTAGTCCTAAAAGTCGAAACTTAGAAGCACTCGAGCGCTCCTAGAGCGCGGGCTGGGTCAAGGACCCGTCACTGTGCTTGTGCCAAACGCCTGGGTCACATGTTTACAAAGGTCTTCTCCGATTCTGATGAAAGGCTTATTTGCAAGAATTTAGGCGCTAGTTGCGTTTGGGGTGCGTGGGAATGTCTCCGCTGCGTTTGGGGTGCGTGGGAATTTTGGCGCACTTTTAGAACTTTTAGAACTTCTAGAACTTTTAGAACTTTTAGAACTTCTAGAACTTCTAGAAATCTTAAAACTTTTAGAACTTCTAGAACTTTTAGAACTTCTAGAACGTTTACAACTTTTAGAACTTTTATGAACTTTTAGAACTTTTAGGACTTCTAGAACTTCTAGAACTTCTAGAACTTTTAGAACTTTTGGAACTTTTAGAACTTTGTATACATACACATATGTGCATGTATGTATGTATAGATATACATACATGTACACATAAAAACACTTACAGTATAATTATACATAAACAAAAAACACAAACACATACATGTACATATCATTACATATATATCTGGACATACACACACACATATGTGTATATATACAGGTGTGTGTGTGTATACATTTACATAGATATATACATACATCGACATGAAATATGTATTGTATGTCTGTAGATATATGTGGGAAATATGTATTGTATGTCTGTAGATATATGTGGGGGGGGGGGGGCTTCGGGCGTGTTTGGTGCAGCCTTGCTTCCTGAAAGGTGTTTGCTCTGATGATGTCTGTGTATGGTTCCGCAGTTTGAACCCTTCTGGAATTTTTAAAACTTTTAGAACTTCTAGAACTTTTAGAACTTCTAGAACGTTGACAACTTGTAGAACTTTTATGAACTTTTAGAACTTTTAGAACTTCTAGAGCTTTTAGAACTTCTAGAACGTTTACAACTTGTAGAACTTTTAGAATTTTTAGAAACTTTGGAACGTTTAGAACTTTGTATACATACACATATGTGCATGTATGTATGTGTAGATATACATAAATACATACACACACTTGCAATATAAATATACATAAGCAAAAAAGACACAAACACATACATGTACATATCACTACATATATACCTGGACATACACACACATATGTGTATATATACAGGTGTGTGTGTATATACTTACATAGATATATACATACATCGACATGAAACAAGTATTGTATGTCTGTAGATATATGTGGGGGGGCTTCGGGCGTGTTTGGTGCAGCCTTAATTCCTGAAAGGTGTTTGCTCTGACGATGTCTGTGTATGGTTCCGCAGTTTGAACCCTTCTGGAATTTTTAAAACTTTTAGAACTTCTAGAACTTATAGAACTTCCAGAACTTTTAGAACGTTTAGAACTTTTGGAACTTCTAGAACTTATAGAACTTCCAGAACTTTTAGAACTTCTAGAACTTTTACAACCGGGTGAAGGTTACTAGAACTGTTACAACTTCTAGAACTTTTCGAACTTTTAGAACTTCTAGAAGTTTTACAACTTTTAGAACTTCTAGAACTTTTAGAATTTGTGGAACTTTTAGAACTTTTCGAACTTTTAGAACTCTTAGAACTTTCAGAACTTTTGGAACTTTTCGAACTTTTAGAACGTTTGGAACTTTTGGTACTTTTAGAACTTTTAGAACCTGTAGATCCTTTGGAACCGTTAGAGCTTCTAAAAGCTCTAACAGTTCTAGAAGTTCTAAAAGTTCTAAAAGTTCTAAAAGTTCCAAAAATTCTAAAAGTTCGAAAAGTTCTAAAAGTTCCGCAGTTTGAACCCTTTTGGAATTTTTAGAACTTTTAGAACTTCTAGAACTGTTAGAACTTGTAGAACTTCTCTAGAACTTCTAGAACTTTTAGAACTGTTAGAACTTCTGGAACTTGTACAACTTTTTCGACCCTTTAGCTGCTGAAACGCCCACGCGCCCCAAATGCAGGGAAGACGTTCCCACGCGCCCCAAATGCAGTCAACCCGAATTTAGAGCTTTGGGTCTCAAGGTTGTGTGGGCTTTGGGGCTCACGGGTTTTAGAGCGATAGGCTTTAGAGTACAAGCTCTCATTTGGCTTCTTTCAATATTTTCCACGGTCAGGGACGCCCTCCAACAGGACAACGACAATCAACAATATTCCAGGTCGGCCCCCCCCAGGACCGGCACACCTGCACTCATCCGCACCAGGACCGAACATAGCCACATGGGGCCAGAAACCGCAGGAGAATAGACTGGACACTGCAGGAGGAACTATGCAAAAAAGAAGTCGTCGTCGTCGTCATACCGTCGGACATATTCATGAAGTCGACCATCAGGCTGCTCTTGACTTAGCTTGCGGTCCGAATACTATCTCTCCAAACCATTACATTTAGTTAATCTGGAGTTATAAGCGAGCGTGCGGCTCAATTAGTCAAGCTCTTTCCTGCTACTTTATACATGAAGAGTTTTTGACATGAAGAGTTGTAGAATAGAAATGAAGGAATCGAGTTCTGTGTAGTAAACAGGAACTTGGCTACTTCATAAGGCTGCACTGGCCTCTTTCTTTGATCCAGGCTGTAGCCCTTGAAGTAGGGGAGATTACATTACAATAAAGCATGCAAGCCAAACAAACGCTGAATTCTAAAGCGGCCGAGACTCTTATGTCGGAGGGGGCTCAAGGCTTTAGGGCCTCGGGGTTTGGGTGTTCCATGAGGACAGTGAAAGCAGCAGTGACACGGATTTTTCTGGACTTGTAGGGCGTTTTCAGGTTGAAGAAGTCTCATGGTAAGGAGCATGCGGTTGGAGGACAGAAAGCACGCAAGCTGCAGCTAAGTTCGAACCGGTACAGGTGAACTCCACGCCACCAACTCAGATCAACAAGCAATGAACTCTCTAAGAACACCACACCGCTGGCCAACAGCCTGATGCGGTGGTAAAGCAGGCTCGGCTCCTTTCCTGGCACATGGACGGATCGGGGATCGGAGGCTCTGACACGGGGTGCCGTTCAAACGACGCCACAAATAAAGACTTGTGCTGATATGTGATGCAGTGTATGATTGTCGTGCAGCTACCACAAACCTAGTCCGAAGAAGACTTGTGTGAAGAAGGGCACTTCCCGGTCGTTCTGAGCCTCCGCTTCAAACAGATGTCCAATTGAGTCTTCTCCTTCAGCTCCTCACGACGCGCGGATGCCACGACTCAAGAAGCTTCACAAGACAAGTAGACCATCCGGCTTTGGGGCGACTCTCACACAGCCATACACGGTCCTCGATCATGGCGACGGGATTGCTAGACACGTGGTTCACCTGACAACTCTCGTCAAGGTAGGCGTGGGCCCACGAGCCCACACGAGATCGGCCTGAAAGATGAAGTCACCGACGCAGATGCGGTTGGGCATCTCCTGCTTCTCGTTCCACGCAGCCACAAGGCCGCCCTGCAGCCGATTCGGCCCAAAGGGAGACCAAAAAAACCGCAGTCCGTCGGCCTCGAAGACGTTTGCGACAAAGACGCCGTCCCTCGGAGTGCTTCGGCTTTCTCTCACTGTCGCTTTTGAATAGGTTGGCGACTCACCCCTCTACACGATGCCGCACAGCAGCTTCCTGAGATTCGGGCTTACTCCATGACCTGTAGGTGACATCGAGACCAAGGGAAGCCTGTGGCTTCTTGCTGATGGCCTCAGCAAGAGCGGCCGGAAGCAACCCAGTGAAGGCAAACCACGATCCGGACTCTCGCCCACCACGGTTACTCGGTTACTCCCCGAAGCTGAAGTTTAGGGCTGGGCAGCAGTGAAGCGATACCAGTTCTCAGCATCATCGTCACCCATGACCTGAGGTAAGCCAAGGCCTGTCTGTGCGCCCGTTTGTATGTCGAAGAGGGGCTCCAAGGACCAGACGCCCGCGCGGTCCCCGCCGCAGCCACGCCATGCGAGAGGAAAGATTACCCACTGTGAGTTTGGTGCTCTTTGCAATGGTATTGGAAGCCACAGAGTTGGCCTTCACATCTCTGCTAGTCCATCCCGTTTTGTGATGTCTAGCATACCACTTTTTGTGCAAATGAGCTACTAGCATTAGAACTGGGCATGTCCCGCTATCGGCCCTCTCTTCTGGAGCCGACTCCAAAGCGGCACGGCCGAGATGGCAGCGTCTCATGCTTTTGGCACTGAAAGGCTACACACTGACACTGCCCAGGCCCAGGCCCACTCGCACTACCCCGGAAAACGAGCCCCAAACAAAGCAGACTCTGTGGTAAGGATTCGCTGGGGCCACCTGTGCTATAAAGGCTTTTGCGGCTACAGGCTATCGGTCGCAGATGTGCTGTTTCTCCGAGTCTCGCACTGGTCTTGGCCAGTCCACAAAGAAACTTCTCCAGCTCAGATAGAACCCTCTGGGCTGGCTGGTGCTGCCAAGACTGCACACAAGCAGTGACGGCTGAAACGTATGCCGCATGGTGCTCCAGCTTCCTTCGCTGCTGCACAGACAGCACCGACAGGGCTGCAGACCATTCCATTCCACGGGTGCAAGCAGCAATCGCAGCGCAGCACGTGATCAAATTCTCCTGGAGCCGCCTCCGGCGAAGCTCTGCGACCAGGACCAAGGCGAGCTGCCAGTGCCCTGCCTTCTCAGAGGCGCTGATGGCAGCATTGTAAGACACGAGGCTCTTCTCCAGAAACGCCCCTTCAAGGTCCTCTAGGAGCTGCAAGGCACCTTCCCAGTGGCCACCTTTCTCGCAGGCACTAATGGCCGAGTTGAAGATAACCAGATCCAATCGCAGCTTCCGACCACGGCATTCCGCCAGGAGCGCCACGGCCTCCTGCCACTGCCTGGCACCATGTCAGCAGAAGCTATCCGTAAGCCTGGCACCTGCGCTTTGAAAGCCGTAACCGCAAAGGCCAACAGCACACGTGTGAATCAAATCAATTCAAGACAGTCGTTTCAAGAACAAAGCCGTCGTCATAGCCATCATTGGCTTAAATCAGCATCAATGACCTGGTCTCACAGCCTCCCCGGTTCGATGTGTCTACAGCAGTCGTCGTCGGTGTCGTCGTCGCTCGCGTCTCGGCAACCACTACAAGGCCAACAACCCAAACACGGCAAACGACGACTATACTTGCAACGACTACACGAACAGATGCGAAAGCATTGCATTGGGAACCGTCCCGAAGCCACGGCGGCACAAGCCAGTGTGCACTTCCTGACCACGACTCCGACTATCACGCGCTACAGACTGAACAGTAGCAGCTTCACTGTAGCAGCAATGGCGGCAGTAGCACAAGCACTGCTCTTAGCAGCAGACCTGGCAGAAGTGATCCGTGCTGCGAAGTGTCATAAAGCGTAGCAGTCGTTTAGTACTGGTCGTCATCGCAACGGTAGAAGTAGAAATAAAAGAAGCAGTTGTGGAAGTAGTAGAGGCAGTAGAATCAGCCGAAGTTGTGGACGTAGAATTGTCATCGTCATAGCACTAGCGGTACAACTGAACTCCAAGTCAAGCTTGGTCTGGCGTCCTAAAGCCTCCGACTGTATCTCAAGATCCCTTACAAGACTGGGAAAGCCACCAAATCTTGCAAACAAAAGCACTAGTAGTAGTAGTAGTAGTAGTAGTAGTAGTAGTAGTAGTCGCAGCACCAGTAGTAGTAGTAGTAGTAACAGCAGTAGTAGTAGTAGTAGTAGTAGTCCGGAAGCATTCCTGGCTGTCTCCATTGCACTGACGGCTGCCCCATAGGTGACGGCGGTCCTCGCCAATGCATCAACATGCATTACACATCTGTAAGTCTCAGCTCCTGCTTTTGTGAATGTGCAAGAATATGCCACAGCATCAAGACGTGTAAGTGTATACACACGGGGGTGCAACTATGCACACGGATGCATAACGACGCTGCGTGGCTTGAGAGAGAGGGAGGGAGGGAGAAAGGGAAGGGAGAGGAGGAGATGTGTGCATGTGTGTATGTGTAGATATATATATATATATATATATACATGTAATTGCAGCTATACAAATATATACAGATCAGACATAAATACAGGTTTCAACAAACGTAGAAAAAGAGATATAGATATCGGTATAGATATAGATACAGGTACAGAAACAGATTCGGATTCAGATATACATCTCATCTAGATATAGATATTGGTATACAGACACAGATATAGATATGGATATCGAGATGATTCAGTCTGATATAGAAATGGACATGCCACGTGCGTGCTACATGTTGCTTGTGCGCACATACTGTTTTTGTATACCTGTCCGTGGTTGCAAACATCCGAAGATGCTTGAATGCTTGCATGTGTGACCACCACGAACCTGGACATGCTGTTCCGTCGCCTGTTTTTACCCCCTCCGCGAGAATCTTGAGGTGGCCGTGAAGGCAGCTCGGCTTCAGCCGCCTTTTCAGAAGCATGCTCTTTCAGAGCTGCTCCTCCCACCAGGGCGGGCGGGAGGGATCCAAAAGCTGCACAAACATCGCTCAGAAAGCATGATCACGACATGCTGTTCCGTCGCCTGTTTTTACCCCCTCCGCGAGAATCTTGAGGTGGCCGTGAAGGCAGCTCGGCTTCAGCCGCCTTTTCAGAAGCATGCTCTTTCAGAGCTGCTCCTCCCGCACCACCTGCGGCCGCAACGCGCGCTGCTCTCAAGTGGATGGCCTCAGCCTCAAGAGAACTGTAGAAGCAGGCGGCGGTCCTGATGCGATTCCGCGATTGCTGCGGCAACGCTGGCAGCACCCAGAATCCCGTCATCTCTTGGAGATAGTGCTCCAGCGTGACTTGTGATTTCAGCCGCATGCGCCACATCAAATCTGTAATTGGAACGCCACGCTGAAAAGCAGCGATGGCCCCTCCAGCTCGAAGCGAAGCGGGGGTGATAGCAGCCGTGGCCGGTACACCCAGGATCCGCAGCAGTCTGTCCCAGCGTCTTCGGTAGGCAGAAGGGCTTCCGGGGTACAAGCTAGCCGTAGCAGGAAGGTTCTCCCAAACAGATAAGATGTGCTCCATTGCCGTAATGTCATCCAGCTTCACATGTTGGATGCGGGCGGCTCGCCTCCGGCTCTTCGGCGCCATGATGCGAAGGTAGAGCCAACGATGTCCGGGTTCCAGGGCATCCTCCGGTGTGAGCAAGTTGCGCCTAGTGGCCCTCAAGATTTCTCCCGGCCGCGAGACAAAGAAGAAAACTGCCAACGTAGCAGCAGCCCATCTTCTCCAGCCCATCGCGAAAGCCAATCCCACGAGCGCCCGGAGAAGAGCTTCAGGGACCGGCGTGCGATGCGACACCGGTTGGAGTTCCTCCCATCTCGTAACCATGTTCCACGCGACGCTCATATGAGGTCGCACCAAAGGGTAAATCTTCTGAGCGTGCGCGAGCAGTTGCCGGTACGATCCCAAAGGGTATCCTGTCTTGTAAAGAACATCCCCATAGTCCCGCAACAACAAGCTCAAGAGGGGAGGGCAGCGAAACAAGCTAATGACAGCTTGCTCCGTGACACTCTCCCTCAGCCACCGAAGAAAAACGTTCCAGATCTGCTCCCTCAGCCTCAGCGTGACCTGCTCGATGAGTTCGACGTCGAACAAAGATCCTTCGCGAGCCCGCCGTGGTTTGCGAGGCCCGGGGTTCTGAGCTTCCCCTATGCGCCGTGTCCCGGTGAACGCGGCGTCCTGTAAGGAGGAGCGTAGCCCTCCAGAAGCTCGCAGTAAGCTCTCGGCCAGCTCCAGGGCAGCTTTCTTTGGAAAGGCCTCGGCAGCTTTCGAAGAGGATCCCAGACCAGGGCCGTTCCGGCCGCGCGCGTGCCAGTGTTGGTGGCCTCCCAAGCAGAGGGTGTCACAGCCACGAAGGTCAGCAGTGGTGAGCACGCGCGTGCGCTTTAGCCATGGCTCGGAAGAACGGCAGCGGTCAAAAGTCCAGAAGCAAGGCCGAGGGCAGCGAAGAAGGAGCGCCTGGGCAGCAGGGTAAAGCCAGAGGAGGGAGGTGGCGGGGCCGTCAACCCAGAAGGGCACGCCCAAATCCAGGCAGAGACCCGCAAAGGAGAAAACGAAGTCGGCCACACGATTCTCAAAGTCCACTTTGGCCTGGTTTAGGGCGCTGAGCCCGGTGAGCCCGCAAGGTTCGTCGGCAGACCGAACCCGTGGAGCCCTGGCAACAGAAAAGGTGGCACCTGGAGGAGACAGGCCCACAGCTGAGAAGCAGCCGGCCCGGAGGCCGTCAAACAACCTAGCTTGCAGCTCGCAATCCAAAAGGTCTTGGGACGGGCCGCCCAACCAGTCATAAGTCAGCGCAGGCTGCCCTGACACTTCGACCCAAGCCTTAGCAACATTGCGGGTACCAGCGAAAAGGCACAGGTACACGGGCACCGCAGGACGAACGGAAGCAGGTTGGCGGCGGCGGTCGGGCCAAAGGAACTGGCAAGCCGAGCAAGTGCTGAAAAATGCAGCAAGGCTCGCAGAAGCAGGGCCAACATCCGGAACAGGAGGGGTGGAAAAGTCGCAAGCGTGATCAAAGGTTAAGTCCGCGGAGGGCTCTCGACGCGGCACTTGGGAGGCCAACGGTAATCCACATCGGTTCCGGAAGCTGGACAAGAGCTGAGGCAAGCCTTGCATCTGTTCGGGCAGCAGGTCCAGGCCGGAGAGGAAGAGGTCGAAGAGGCGAAAGTCGCCGGAAGCGCCGGCTTCGTACCAAGCTGGCGTGGGCACGCTAGCCGAGCGAGTCTGTCTGCAGCGAGTATCATCGTCGCTGGGGTTGTCCTCAGAGGCGACGAAGGCAAAAGAAGGATGCAAATTGAAGAAAATGTAGCCCGGAAGGGAGGCTTGCAAGCGCACGTTAAGTGCCACGGAGCTCGACCTCCCCTTCAGCAAAGCGCCCAGCACCACTTGCGAGTCGAGCAGACCTATTGTCCTCGCGTTTTCCCACGGGCCCGCCCCGAGCCTCTCCTCGACGAGGAGATAGCTCTCAGCTTCTTTCAAGTTTATGTGCAGCCCCGCTTTCCTCCGGAAGGAGGCGAACAATTTGAAAGGAAGGGCCCGAGCAAGAAGGGTCCAAAGCGCATGGGTGCGGTAGGCTTCCCCAGGCAATTCATCTTGGTATGCAAGCTGGCCCGCTCGACGGAGCATGGCCTCACTAGGTCTGAGCAAGCGGTTCCACAGCCCTTTCACCAACACGTGCCTCTGCAGTTCACGGCCCCAGGCTGGCCCGACTTGGGTGATGACGCCGGCACCTCGGTCGTCGGAAGCGTCGGTTGCTGCTAACAGACCGCTGGAAGAGGCACGCATGTCGCTCACCAGGAAGGGGGCGACCACACACAAGGTGAAGAGTTCCACCTTAAGCTCCGGAGGGACGCGCACCACAGCATTCCGAGCACGGTCCCGTTGCAAGAAGTAGACCCAGTTCAGGAGAGATAGGCACCGGCGGCGGTAGGCCAGGACAGAGACCCACGACCCGGCGAGCACTTCCAAGAGGCTGACGGTCAGCACCGGGAGCCTGAGGCATGCTATGGTGAGGCCGACAAGTGGGATCAGCCGCGTCCAGGCCGGACGCACGAAGCCCTGCAAACCATCAAAGTCCGAACCCCAAAAGGAGGCACAGTGCTGCTTAAGGAAAGTCTTCCCTTTGTGGACGGGCAGGGGTGCCGCCGCGTAAGCCTCAAAAGCGCGGTCCATGAGAGGGCCCGACTCAGAGGGGCCGGTGCTAAGCAAAGCACGCTCCAACACAATGAGGTCATCAATGACCACCCCTAGGCACAGATCGCCTCGGCAGGGCCGGCCCCGTAGGGAGAGGAGAGCCTCGAAAGGTGCAACGCCCCGAGCCAGCAAAAGGCCAAGGTGACTGGCCTGGCCGAAGCTCACAGAGTTGAGGTCCCCCATAGCCATTGTGAAGAGAGCCGCGGAGACCTGCTTGCACCTCCAAAGTTCCGGGCGGAAGCACTTCAAGGAGGCTAGCTCGTGAGGGGCAAAAGTGCCAACGAAGCGGTACAGTCGGCTCCTGCTTTCCGAAATTAGGAAATTATGATAAAAATCCTTCAAGTCGGTGCCCGAGGCCCAGAAAGCTTCACCGTTACGGAGCTCCAAAGACAGCAGGGCGGCGGCGGTTGGCATAAGAGCGAGCCACCGGCTGTCCCCGATTTGCACCATGTTAGACGGCCTGGCATCAACTATGAGCCGGTCTCGCGTGGCGTCCTTTGGCACAGCAAACAAGCCGCAGCAGCCGGCCATGGAAGTGTCGTCGGCCGGAAACAGGGCCAACCGGTCGGAGGCATCGAGAAGAGGTAGCAGCTCCAACAGGGCTTGCTTATTTCGGGACCTAAACCTTACCCTAGGGGGGTCGAAGGGGAGGTCGGCGAAATCCCGGCTCGAAGCGCTTGGGTCCACGTACAGGGCTCGAAGCTGATTGTCCAAGAAAGGGCACGGGTCGAATGCCGGGGCTTCGGGAAAAGAAAGGCGGCTGGCCTCAATGTCCTTTGCGGGAGCAAGGCTCGGCAGGGAAACGGAGGCTTTCTCAGAAGCGGCTTGCAAGGCAGAGAGCTGCTCTTCGATCTTTTCAACCTTGCCCGCTGCCCGGCCCATGTCGGCGGCAGCCACAGGTGGGTGGTTCGACCAGGCATTCAGCCTGCTTGCAAGTCTGGCCCAACATCTGCCCACCGAGGCCCACGCAAAGCAAAGGGAGAGCAGGCAGAGCCACGGCCGACCCGGTGCAGCGGAAGAGCCAGGAGTCTGTCAAGAAGGCGGGCAGTGAGCTGAAGGGCGACGGGGTCGCAAGTGGCAGTAGCTGTGGCGGCGGCCTCGCAGGCTACCAAAGAAGAAGAAAAGAAAGCCTCATCGACAAAGGAGGAGGCAGGTCCGCGGGAGGGGGCGCAAAAGGACAAAGTCCCGTCAGCCAGGAGCTCTGTCAAAGAATTCGCAAAAGTGCATGCATGGAAGGCTGGGGCTGACGTCTCAGGCAAAGGCATCGCTCGGCCCGGCGACGGCAGCCACAAACGGCCTGAACAGATCACTTTCCTTGACCCCCGGAGGGGCCTGGTTTGTCGCCCGTGGGGGCGTTCGGGTTGCCACCTTTGCCGCCGCCGCGGCCTCTCCCACGGCCGCCACCATCGGCAGCATCATCATCACCACCGCCCTTGTTGCTGGGTTCACCGCCGCGGCTCTTCCCCAGCTTGCGTTTTGCATCCAAGAAGCTCTCAAGTTCCTTGACACGGTGGAGAAGAAGGTCGGACCACCGGCCGCTCAACAGGCGAGTGTGGTAACTTTCGAGCGGGTCCAAGAGGACTTTGCGACCCTGGAAGGAACCCAACGGCGGAGGGCTCTCAAGTGTGATTTCCTGCGCATAGGCCCACGAGCCAGAGTCGATGCATGCCTGGTCCAAGGCAGCCAGTGCTAAGCAGGTGCGGGCGCGGGCTTCCGCAGGCCTGTCGTCCCTAAGGGCGTCAAGGATGCCGGCCAGGCTCCACATCATGCGGATCGTGGTCGGGTAGTATCCGACCCGGCTCCTGAACTCCACCCAAGCTCTAGCGGAACTCTGGGCAGCACTGAGCGAGCCAACGGCCCGCCGCGACAAGAGATCCTCATCAAGCAGGCGCTCAATCTCTTGGTGTATGAGTTCAGGGGCCTTAGTGAGGCTTTCACGCAGGAGCCGGTAAGCAGCGCCCTTCGAGCGGGAGGCCCCCGCAGTTCCATACCCGTCGGAGGGAGCGGACCCTTCTGCCAGGTCCAAAGCGGCTTCCAGACTTTGGGCACGGTCTGCGGGCCGGCGCCGATCTTGCACAAGCTGCTTCATGAGCCCCGTGAGGGTGACAACGGCCTGTTCGATTGGAGCTCCGCCGGGCGCTTCGTCAAGGAGAGCGGCACCTGAATCCTGGCTGCCCCCAAAGTCGGAGCCGTCTCCCAGGACAGCACCAGGACCTGTACCGGCAGTGGCAGCCGGGAAATCTCCCAAGGCAGAACGGCCCTTCTGCATGAGGCTGCTCAGCTCTCGCAGCTCGGCCGGCGCAACACCTGAGTCAAGCGCGGCCTTGACGACTGCAGGATCAAGTCCGGGGACTTCTTTTGCGCGGCCCGGCGGGGGCGGCGTGCCAGGGACCGACCCAACACCACCTTGAGGGGCCTGCCGTGGTTGAGCAGCCTTAGCCTTCGGACCTGTCTTTGCTCGGGCACCTGTGGCGGCCTTCGCGGGCGGCTCCTTTGCAACAAGTTGCTGCACGCTGGCACTGAGCTGCCCAATGGTGGCCTCAAGCGCTCGGAAGCGGGCTTCGAAAGGGTCAGCCGGGAGCGGAGGACCAGAACTCAAAGCAGACTGGTAGCCGAACTGGCTTTCCGCAAGCTCAACAAGGGCCGGGGCGAAAGGCAGCAGGGGGCCGTCATGAGGCCCGAAAGTGATGTCTGGGACCTCACCGGAATCAAACACAATCTGCTCAGCAACATTGCGAGCCAGCATGCCAAACCAAACTTACCCTGGCACCGTCTTCAGAAACACTGGCGCGGTCCAGGGAGGACGCGCAGGCCACTTCGACAAGAATTGGCTTTGTGAAAGGGCCGGCCGGGAGTTTTCTTTTATTTGGCTTTTTGTCCCAGGCCTGGTGAGGAAAAATAGCGAGGACGCGCTCTTCAAAGGGCGCCACGAGAATCGAAGAAATGGTGCGTCGGGAAGCGCCGTCTCCAACGGCAAGCACCCCTAGCTCATAGTCATAATTAAGAGAAGACCCGGCCACGACAAAATGGAGCTCCAGAGGTCTCTCTGCTTCTTCTGAGGACTCGCCTGCCTCAGTCATGCCTTTCCACAGGTGGTCCTAGCCCGGCAGCTTCCGAGACGGCCGAGGCCTCCCACTGGGAAGGCAGCCCCACAAACACTGCAAGATCTGACACGTAGCCCGCAGGCTTGACCAAAGCTTTTGCAGCACCGAAGGAGCGGAACAGGAGAGGAGGGTTGTAGCAGATACCTCGGTGATCACGAGCCACAAGGTACACGCGGCTGGCCAAGGGGTTCTCCTCACGACCGCTAGGGCCTCGATGACCGCCCGCCAAGACCCGCCTAACCCAATCCGTGCAGCGAGGGCCCGGCGCTCGGCTTCAGACAGTTGACCAGGCGCGGTGGCCGACAAAGCAGAGGCAATTTCGACAGCACGCTGCGGGCTGGGAACAGGTGAAGGCACAACAGGATGGGCAGGGCGGTGTGCCGCGGAAGCGGAGGGAAGCTCAGGGTCGGCACCCAGAAAATCACCCAAAGTGGTCGGCGACGGGCCGAGGCGGCTATCCACGAGCCGGTGCAAAGCCCGGACCTCACCGGCGAGCAGGCTGACCTCGGAAGCGAGGTCGGACACACGTGTCACGAGCGCACTCACTGCGGCCTCAAGGTTGCTCATACACTCAAAGAACCCTGAAGAGAGGACCCGGCTGGGTTCGCAAGAGAACAACCCTCTCTCGGATGGCTGCAGCCCACCAGACCCGGATCAGATAAAGGAGATCGATGAGGGGCCCCAAGAAAAGGCCGAGGAGGATGCCCAGGCAGAAGGAGCGAGGATCGATCTGTGCCGGGAAATCGAGCTCCGGACAGACCAAGGTGGGAAGAGGGGAAGTCTCAAGGCCCCCCGGAAAGAGCTCCTCGGCAGCACGAAAGAAAAGGGATGCCAGCGACCCTCCTAGGAGGCTGGCTTGCACGGGCCTAAGGGCCATCCACTTGCTTAATCCAAAAGCTGCACAAACATCGCTCAGAAAGCATGATCACGACATGCGGGGCTGCTCTTCGCACGTTGATTGATGCAATTTGATTTGCGGAGTGCTCGTGACTCTGGCATGCTGCCAGATTGCGATGGCCTCCTGATCGAACTTTGCGGCTGTAAAACCTAACACGAAGATGTCACACCTCTGAGATTGTTTAAGCCTTTAAACCGTTTTCCTGCTGAAATATGTAATCTTGCTCCAATTCGATGGCACTCTGCGTACTCTAAGAGGTTCCTTGCCGAAGCAGGTGTCTCCACGAACAGCGACAGAGCCCTCTGCCACTGCTCGCCAGAGACACAGGCCGTCATTGTAGTGTTATAGCCTCGGTGACCCGGCACACGACATGCGTCCGGCTTATGACTGAGCTGAGCGGAGCAGCTTCACTGATCACCCTTTTAGGAGTTTCGCAGACGTTGCCATCATCGGAAAGACTCCAAGGATGCAGGACTACGAAAGAACACCAGCAAGCTCGAGCGAGTCTAGATTCAAGTGTTCCTTGAGATAACTCAGACTCCAAGCAACAGCTTGACTAGCGTGACTAGCCACATCCACACCCTGTCTTGTCAGGCCACGCTCCCGCCTGAAACAGCACAATAGCCTCACTTTCCCATATTCTTTGTGGCTAAGGGTTCGCCAGATTGGACCGGAAAACGAAAAAAAGAGACAAGGCCTTGAAAATATTGAAAGGACAGTCGTGATTCTGCGGACTGTGATCACCCAGACCTAGGGAGAGGCGAGCGTCAGATTCATGAACGTGAACCGTCCCTTTTCAAGATGGTCAGGCATACAATTGACAATTGCAGGGCTTGCTGGGCCTCAAGATGTCAACTCGTGTCTTCCCGGTCTTCTGGTCAAGGAGCTGATGATCGATGGGCGGAGGCTGGCGAAGCCCATGCCAACGAAGAGCAGAAGGGCCTGGTGCCGAGAGAGAAGGGCGATCATTCGTCAGAGGTTTCTGCACGCAACAGCAAATCTTTTCGTTAAAAGCTGTTCTTCGGAATTCTTCAGTTCCCTCGGCCATGGAGCAGGTCCTACTGATGCATCGCGAGTTCAAGCAGCGCCTGCTCCCAGTGGCAGCTCCTCTCGCAGGCGCACATGGCGGCGTTGTGCGCAATTCTCCTTACAGGCGAACCGAACTTACCGGTCGAGCCGATTCTTCTGGTCTTGTCTCCTTTTCTGAACCTTGGCATCAGTTTGCTACCTCAGCCGCGAATGCCGACAAGACTCGATTGCAGCCTTCGCAGCTGGAGTTGAAACAACCTCAGACTCACAAGGAGCTACTCATTGCAAACTCCACACAGCGGCAAGCCATCAAAGCTAGTCCCACTTTTAGCACTTCCGCCTCTACAGCCAGCATCTACTACTCTTAGGCACGGGGCTGACGCAGTGCCTCTTCCCAAGCACCATGGGCCGCGCAGGCACTGATAGCGGCACCAGCCGTGACGACCGTGCCTGTTACAAGAGGGGAAATGCGCCAGGGAAGAGAAAGCTGAGAGCACCTTGAAAGCGTTTATAACGCGCACCTCGTAGTCCGCCAGCGTTGAGGCTGTCAAGGAGTTGGAGGGCCACGGGCCACTCCTCAAAGCAAAGCCGAGACAAAGCCGCAAAGACGCCTTCGCTTCCGCACTCCCTGGCCTGGCCCCTCTCGCTTGCAGTGATCCCGCAGTTGTAGCTCACCGCATCCTCAGAACCCAGAAGAGTGGTGGGGCTCAGGTCAGCTTGGGCTTGGGCTTGGGCTTGGCTTGTCCGCGAGATGATCCCGTGCGGCCACAGTTTCGGCCTCGCCTCGTTCACGGAGTTCCTGCAGGGCCAAGAGGCTGACGGCCCAGGTGGGGGCGGCCGTGGCGGCCGTGGCGTTGAAGGAGATCCGGTCGGGCTCCAAAGCCACGAATCGGATGGCTGACAGCTGCATGATGGCCAACTCCCAGCTACGGCTCTTCTCGAAGGTATTCAGGCTGCTGTTGTAGCTGATCACATCCCTCCGCACCCAAAGAGCAGAGGCAGAACGAAAGAGGCTTAGAGCAGCTCGCCAGTGCTGGCCTCGGTTATGAGGGCTGAGCCATTTCTGACCATCTGCTAGACCATTCAAACAAAACAACCTTTAGACTGCCGTAGGCCCAGAGGAAAAGGTACACAAGCAGTCGATACACCCTTTTCGCATGCAGTGATGGCGGCATTGAAGGAAATCTCGTTCAGTTGCCAGCTTCTTGCGGGTATAGAAGTCAGGACTGCCAAAGCTTCCTGCCACTGGCCTCTCCTGTCGCATGCGCTGATCGCAGCTGTGAAGATGGCAGCGCTCGGTTGCCCAGTCGACGGAACACCTGCACACCTTGAGCATATGAAACGAATAGGCTGCTGAAGAAAAGCTGAGCCCCATGAGTTCCACGCCTCGTTCTCATCTACTCGCAAGCCCGCACAATCGCCGCAGTTCGAGGCCATGCCAGCAGCGATTCGAGCTGAGTGCCCGGGATGCCCGGGGACCCCAGGTTTCGAGGAAGAAGGTGGGGTAGCGCTTTGTGGCGTAAGTACAAAAGCCACGATCAACACCGGGATCTGCCTCTGTGGCTTGGAGAAAATGGCTTCGTGATTCTTGCAAGTCCACTGATTCTGGCAGAAACAAGACACACAACGAACATGACAGCTCTGTCTTTTCGTGCGCTTACACTTACACGCCGTCCGAAGCCGCTCAGAAGAGGGCTGGCAAGCGCTCTCTTGCAGCACGCACTGCGAAATGCGTTTCTCATACCTCCGTCTCCTCGCTACTTCGACAAGAGGAACGAGACCCAGGTCTTGTGAGCCCGATCTTGGCCAAGGCGTCACTTACCAGAGGACCCTGGTCAGTAGTCCTCTTCCTTGCAAATGCAGCGCGCAACAAACGGCCGTGTGTATTCTTGCACGTCGAACTGTCTCATTCGGCTTTCAGCTGAGCATTCGTATCGACCGGTGGCAAGCATAACAGAGCAAAGAGATGCTAAGCTTGTGAATGCCCAGGTTCGATATCATCAAGCACAGCCAGGAAGCCTGAATTGAGTCTGGGCAAACTTGAGTCGGGCCAAAGACAGACGTCAAAACTCTGGCGAGCTGCCGCGTATGCAGAAGTGCCGAGGCGCCGATGACCCAATTTGGCAGCTGAGATGGAATCAAGGTTTCCACCTTCCATCGTGAGAGAACCTCATGGGAGCATGCTACCAGCTGGTCATGTTCGTGAAGCCTAGGCCTAGCCTCTTTCCGAGGCATCACAGGCGGCCGGGCGGCCCTCATGTCTTGGGTCGCGCTTCCAATGACGAAGTGCTGCTGAGCTTTAGCGACCAGCCGGCCGGTTGTAGCATTCCTCCGGACAGGGAGTCTGCATGACTCTTTGGGCTGCTGCCCCGCAGGCCGAGTGGCTGGAGGTGCATGGACCACACCTGCCGAACTCCTGTGCCAAACCTGAAGCACCGTGACAGAAAAAAATCGAAGCACGAGGATGGCCGGAATTAGCCCGCGGCGACGACACGGGCCCGGTAATCTGCCCACGAAGGGTTGGTGCCAGCCAACCCTCGGTACCAGAGTTCTCATGCAGTCTGTCTGTCTCTCTCTCTCTCTCTCTTTGTCTCTCTCTCTCTCTCTCTCTCTCTCTCTCTATCGCTTTTGCCGAGATCGAAGCATCGAAGGAGACCTGGAATTTGGGATCCAGCCCAAAGCTGGCCTGCAGCCGCTCGAGTCCAGAGTCCTACGGTTGATGGTATAAATCCTGCATTACCTCAAGGACCCTAAACTATGGGAATTATGGTATATCCCTTCTAACGGGTCATGCAGGATTTATACCATCAACCGTAGGACCTACGGGGCGGCCCCGAAACCAACTACCCGGCAGGGATGCTGCAACGCAAAAAGCTCAAGAACCATGCCATCCATTCATCAGCCTCTGGTATCAGCGTTTCGCGAACTTGTGCGGACACCGCCCGCTCCGCAAGATTGAAAAGCCTGAAGAGTCCCAAGCAAGTCAGCAGAGGAGAGGACGTTACGAAATGTAAGCTCGGCATGCCAAAGAACACTCTGAATCCAATGGGCGGCGGGCGCTCGTGCTAACAGTAAAAAACGCGCATCTTCCCCATTACCTTCAACCACCAACCACACGTCACATCTCTTCTCACACGGGAGGCCTGCTGCAGTTCACGAAACATCGCCAGTAGGACTCTATCCTCAGGATTTGCGTCAGAGCAAATAAAAGAAGTTTCGATGCACCCCCAGCCCCCAACATCCGATTTAGGCGTTCGGCCACCAGACTTCTTTCAGCTCAAAGAGTGTGGACGGTCTGCCAACTCCACCGGCATCCTGACAGCAGGCGCACCGTACCGAACGACCCGACTGCACGCTAGCCACCAGCCACTACAGTAGCCACTGGAGGAATGGAGGAACTCCAAAGAGAAGCTTCAAAGGCCCCTGCACAGCGCTGGACGTTGTACTCAATGATGGGCTTGAATCGAGAAAGGAAGGATGCGTACCGTGCCTCCACATCATCAAACGAAAAGCCTTGATTGTATGTTATGAGAAATGGAACACCACAGTTGCACTTCCGAGCAGCTCGATGCCTCGAACCAAATCCTGCCGTTGGCATCGGAGAATCCGAAGCGCATGATGATGAACAGGTTGATGTCCTCGTCTGAAACGCTCAGCGTGGACAGTTTCTGCGCTGTTCCGGGGTTCGCTTGGAAGCCAAGCTGCGTAGAAATATCCGACGTGTTTCTGGGTATCGTCATACACGTCGACCAACTTCGTAAATTGGATGAGCAAATATTTGCGCTCAACCAGTGTGAAGTTTGCCGGCAGCAACTGTCCGTTGAATGGGGGCTCGACATCCCGCAGAGCATCCGGATTGCAATACAAGTTCCTGGTGACGCCAATCCTCGTGTTTCACAGGTGTTTGTCGAATTGACAATCGAAGCTCCTCTGCTTGAGGCCGCCACCAAAATGCAACAGTGAAGAGGCAAAAGAAGGCAGTCAGCCGCCTAAGCTAAAGTGTTGCACGCAAGCCATTCCAGGTACGCACATCACGACATCACGGACTCTTACGTTACGACATCACAGAGTTGTGGATTTCTGCAGCTTCGGTACCCACAGCCATCCCAGCGTCCACGGGATCGTACGTGGCAGCACAGCCATATGGCCGCGTAACATGAACTTCGGTCCCGCCCCACCTCTCACATTGCTGCACTTAACAAGACAAGACTTGGAGCCCTGAACTCTGAACCTTAAACGAAACCCTAAACCAGCACATCGTGTTCACCAAGCATGCCCAATCGAGAAGATGTGCTCCAGGCGGCCTCCTCGCGCTCGGACAACAAAGATTCCTCCATGTGGATGTGGAACACAGAGGAACCATAGCTGTGACAAAGTTCGGAATCTTGGAATTTAGGAACAAGGATCCAGAGTGTTTAATGCATCAGAACATGCCTACAGCCGATGTGGTGCGCAGTGAGACTGAGACCTTGTCGATGGCATCAATTGGGCCCTTGATCGCTGACGCTGCACCCGCTTCTCTTTCGGTAGCGACTTCTGTACCCCTGCATGCCAGCGGAAGGGCTCGAAAGCAAAAAAAACCAGACTTTTCAGTTCGCTAGCTGGCACACAGAAGCTCAACGTAGAGAACGCGCGTTTGCCTCCTGTTGTGGCGCACTGAAGCACTGATCAGCGTTAAAGCTGCCGTTTCGGTAGCAGGCTTAACCTTAACGTGGTGTGGCCAGGAATTCGTGACATCATTGGCGTCTTGACTTTTGCTAGCTTCAGGGCAAAATGCTAAGTGGATCTGTGGAGCATCCGCACCGCTGAGTTTAGCACGGAGGATCTGGACCCCTTCGGAACGGAAGGAGCAACGCTCTCAAGGTCGATGAGTTTGAAGCCTCTCCGCGTCCGTCAGGGGCACACACCCTAGCAGCAGTTCTGCTGCGGTGAAAAAGTGACTGGCAGGCTGTATGCGGCACACAGACAGCAGGCTGCTATGGGTTCAGCAAAAGTCGCAGCAAAGCAACTTGAGATTGGACCGGTTGGAGCGCATAACAACATAGCGGACTTGCCGACGAAAGCCAAATGTGATATGCCGTGACTCCGGTCATGGAGAAGTCGCTTCTTCTTGATCTAGGATCAGAGACAGAGTTTGCAGGATGGTCAACAGGCATCTGTGAACATGCAGCAAATATAAAAAGCCAGGCATTACAATCGGCCAGCATGGCACGCAAGCAAAACGCAAGCCGTAAATCCGAAAACGCAGCGCAGTTGTAAAACCTTATAACCTAAAACATCAAATGTTTTTCGCCTTGAAAAAACATTTCATTCATGTGCCTTTCGCTTGCAATTTTCATCGTTAGAGAAATCGTCAAGCATGAACAAATCTGTGGAAGCATTGGGAAAGAAAGAGGAACATCCGAGAGATCAATGAAAGGAGCAAAAAAAAGGCAAGAGAGAAGGGAGAAGAGAATTGCAAGGAACGCATTGCGTGGAGGAACAGCTTTGTTTTTAGAGTGAAAAAGAACTACCGTATTGTGCTGTCTTGCACGCTCGAGACTGGGACACTGCAGTCCAGGAAAAGTGTCCGTCAGTTGGAGTCGAAAGCCTTGGTGAAGCCCGTTCTGGAACACTCTGGAGTTTTAAAGAGAGTTTGTTGCTTTTTTTTGGCGTGGACTGACCTCAAAGACAGCAGTTGCTGCACTCGGTCCCAGTAAGAACTACAAGAAAACAATAAAGAAGCTGTATTTAAAGAGAGTTGGTTGCCATCACAACTGTCCTGCGAAGATAATTACTCGGAGACATAGGAAAATCCCCCTCGACTGGGCTTTTGTGAAAAGACGAGTGAGAATGCGTTAAGCAAATTCAGGCAACCGGTCCCCATGAGAGCATGCAAGATGGCAAAACTCCCCAAGCGGTTCCTGGAACAGGTGAGGCGTGAAACGTCTGAGGCGCACACGTGAGATATCAGCAGGCTGTCAGTAGGCGATGACTTCACCTGAGCGGCAGGGGTTAGGGGGGGGCAACCCAACCGAAGGGTTAAGGCTCGGCGGCAAGCGGCATGACGTGAACGCAGAGACCTGCAGGAGAGCTTGACATGGCGACAAAATGCTTTGAGTCTGCCGTAAAGGCTGGAGGCCGCAAGGGCATGATGCAAGGGCCGGCTTGTGCAGCCCGATACTGGCTTTTTTTGGCGTGGGCGGGCCTCGTCGACTGCATCCGCAGCTCTCGGTCCCTGCAAGAAGCTAAACAAGCGAAGAATCAAAAGCTAGGCAACTGTACAAGAAGATACGAGAAAAAGACTATGCACACCATGGTGAAACGGGCTGCGACTTGCAGACTTTGCCGGCAGATATCGTTCAGCCCTTGTTAAGCTTCAACTGCTAGAGCCGCTCAGAGGCCCCGCTTTCCAGAT